ACAAAGACCTGGCAAGGGTAAGAGAAACTGCAGACCAAGGTGGTGGGATGTCATCTGCCTGGACAGAGTGGTGCACCCAGGGGCACCAAAGCCTAGGTGTAACCACTGTATAGCTTGGCCTGGTGGTTTCTCCAGCTGAAGAGAAGGGTCCAGCTCTGAAATTCTCTTGTGCCCACACTATCTTCAGTGTCTCAGCATCCCTCACCTTCCATCCCCAACGAGTGACTTCCAGCACATCTGCCCCAGCAAGACTCCAATGCTCTTCTGCCTCATTAAATGCACAACCTTTGGCCCAGGGCAGGTTGAAAGAGTATAGATATTAGGAAGAAGCTCTTTACTATGAGGGTGGTGAGGCACTGGCACAGGTTGTCCAGAGAAGCTGTGGCTGCCCCATCCCTGGCAGTGTTCAAGGCCAGGTTGGACAGGGCTTTGAGCAACCTGGTCTAGTGGAAGGTGTCCCTGCTTGTGCCAGGGGGCTGGAACTGGATGAGTTTTAAGGTCCCTTCTGACCCAGACCATTCTGTGATTCTAAACATACTATATGGCCAGGCCATCAGCAGAGCACCACACAGCTCCTGAGCAGCAGGCACACAGCTCCCTGGCTTTTGCCAAGCAGAAGTAATCTCCAGGTAACAGAAACCTATGAAGCCATGATAACACTATCACCCTGGCCTCCTCTCCTTTGTCCTCAAATAGGAACTCACAAGATGTTTAATCATTGAGATTAGGCTGAATGTGGAAAGATTACTCATTAGTGATCCTGGGTATAAACAGTTTCCTTTGCAGAATAATTTCTTCTCTAAGAACTTCCCCTCCTCCTCTCCAAATTAATTTCCATCCCAGCCACGACCCTCAGTAGAAAATCTTGCCATGATAATTTTGCGCTAAATATTCTGAGTAATCAATCAAAGCAGTGGAACCAATTTTGAAACTGTCACTTTTAATTTTTCCAATGAAGAAAAAAAAAGGAGTATTTCACTCAGTGCAGTTGTGTTTTACTCTCTTAAAACCTTCGCTCCACCACATCAGTGCTTCAGAGATGTACTTGAAAATCTGGAGGGCCGGCACAATTGCAGAGAAACTTAAACAGATTAATTTTTAGCAGGGAGAAGAAACCTGTTTCTTCACATGCCCTTAGAGCTGTCTCACGAAACCTTCTCTTTCTTTTTTCCTTCCCTACTTTCCTCCTGTACAAAACCAACTATAGCATATTAGTAATTTCATACACGCAGAAGGCTGGCACTCACTAAGAAGCTGACATGTTATTGAGAGCTCAGTGCATAAATGCATGGCTAATGAAGGCCCAAAGAGTACATGCACTCAGTGCTGGCGTGGAGGAGAGGATTTCTCCATCCTCTGGCACAGGATGCCTGTGGACACATCAGCACCAGAGAGGCTGAGCTGTGGTAGGAGGCACGAGTAGCCTCCATACAGAAGTTGCTGAATAAATCCCTCCTGGAAAGAACAGGTTTATTAAACATACCAGCAATTGCAGTTTGTGGTCAGAGTACATGTGGGCTGCACCTCTGCTCTGCAAGGAGCCATCCAATTAGAGGCTTTGCAAGTAGTTCAAGTGAGTGCTTTGGCTACAGAAAAGTCAAAGGGAGTTCTGTCTTGGCCAGAGGCAGCATGGTCCCACAGTGGTTTGTGCCAGCTACAGCCTGTAAGCTGCTGTGAGCTTATGTTTTTAATGGGCTGATGGATGTGGATGAAGTTGTGCCTGGTAAAAGCATTGCATGCCTATGCATGGGAGAGGGAACACAGCAAAAGCAGCAACAGTGCCCTCAAGTTGAGCCCCTACATCACATAGAAAGGGAAAGGACCCTTTCTCCAAACCGATACTATTTTCTAGATCAGGACCATTTCTAGTTTCACATTAATTTCACACTGAGATAGGCTTACATTGAGGGGCCATGGTCTCCTGTGCTGCTTGCATCGAAACCAAGCGATGCCAGCAAGTGGGACCCAGCCAGGGCTGCCTGCCTCTGCTACAACCGTCACTCTCTCACCAGCCCTGCTGCCAGCAGCATCTCTGTACACAGCATTGCCTAGCAGCTCTCCGCATCGCTCCTGTTGCTGTTATCTCCGCTTGCAAGTCCTCGTAAGTGTGACGCAGTGAGCATGTAATTAGCTGTGAGATGTGGGAGCGGTAGCAGAAGCTGACAGTGTCAATCAGCAGCTCCCTGAGTTCTACCAGCACACCCCTGCCCTGAAGCTTCAGCTCTGTTATCTTGGTTTATTGTGTTTATCAAGAGCACAGATTGGATTTGGAAGTTCTGAAGATGCGGAGAGCCCTTTGGCATTTGAGGAAGGAGATGAGAAACCTAAGAAACACAGAAGTTAATATGTTTTCAGCTTGCAAGAGAGCTTGGAAATGCCGCTGATGGTTTATTAATCTCTCTCGCCCTGGAGGACAACAGTAATCTGCTTTTTCCTCTATGCTGAATTTCCTTTACTGAAAGTTAAAGGGGACAGTGGCAAGTTAATTCTATTTTGGAGACAGATAATTCTGCGCCTTTCATAGTGCTTTTGGATTACTAAAACTCCTTTAAAACAGGATTTTAAAAATCAAAGAAGTCCAATTTTCTCTTTCTGTGCTGTTTCATTCCAGTAATTTCTCTCTCCTAGGACAAACGACTCAAGTCTTGCCCTTTTTCATTGTAATTCTGACTCCTTTTCCATCACTGCCAGTGCAAGACATAGAACTCGGTCCACAGGCAGAATGTGCCCGCAGTCCCCAAAACAAGCAGAAATGAGAGCAAGGCCAAACATTTTGATATGATGATCAGTTGTATTTTCAGTCCATTAATACACATTCATTTACCAGATACAAATGGAGTGGAAAGAAAAGCAATTGTTAGCAGAAACAAGGACACAAAACTCAATTCCAGCAGCCTTCACAGAAGGGATATTCAGTGTTCACAACCGCACTGTTGGAAGGTAGAGACACACAGAAACACATCTGAAGTGGAAGATCCTTTTTTTGTTGATTAGTTTAGCTAGACACATGATTTAGAAAAAAATCCAACCCCAACAATTCCCAGAACTGTGACTTTTGACACTTTTCCCATTTCCCATGTGTCAGAAAATAGGTAAGTTGGAATTGTTTACATGGAGGAGATTTTAGGAAAACATACTGCGAGGGAAAAACAGAATAATCACAAATACTGGAAGATATAACAAGGAAACAGAGAAGGAAATTACAAAAAATAAAGGAAAGAAAAGAAAACCCAAGAGGATCATGGCATTCAGCGGTCGATGGATAGTCTGTGGGTCTGTTCCATTTTGATATACCTTAGTTTTGCATGCTTAACTTGATTCACTGCTATGGCGTTACACTCCTGGTTTAAGGCTCGATTCTGCAAAGCTCCTGCTTTCAGCAGTACTTCAGCTGCACAGAAGGGGTTGCTGGTTTCAAGCCACAAAATGTGAGTGTATTCCCATCTTGTAGGCCAACCTCTGCTCCTGTACCTGGTCTGGAGCCCACTTGCTCTCCTCACCTTGGCCACCACTGCACTCTACAGACCAAGTCTTTTCTGCCAGAAAACCACTGCAGCAGCTCTGCAGCTGATGGATGTGTGTCAGTTTAGACCAGCATGGATTTGGGTCTTTACATTCATCAGGAGAAAGAGGTGGCATTAACCTAAAGGACCATTCAGACTTTTATTTCAATGTTCCACAAATGCAATGCACAAAGGACTTGTTACATTGAAATAAAAATAGAAAACCACATTGAGCTTGATTGTACATGGACATTTCCTTGGAAGGAAAAAAGATATTGTAAATTATTAATATCAGGGTCCCAGTGAGGCAAAACCTACACTGAGGTCTCCCCTGAGGGACAGCACCAGGATTGCAAAATTATGTTCTGAAACCTCATCAAAAGAAATGCAAATGGAGCATTTGGGGTTTAATCTAGCAAAGCCCACATCAAGTCAAGTGACAAACTGAGACCAAGAGACCAGAAACCGAGCTGAGCGCTTAGCATCTGCCATGGAGCACTGGAGTAGTCCTTCTGCAAATCATTTTCCAGTGAAGTTCTAACATATGATGATATTTTATCCCTTGTTTTTAAAACCATCCACTAACTTTGCAGTGGAACATTTACCCAGTCCAGCACCTGTACAACAAAACACATTTTAAAATACCAGACTATTAAAAAGATAAGGAGTACGAGTTCTCAAAGTGGCATGTGTTAAGGAATAAATTAAAAGGAGGTTATGGGGGAGGTGTTCTACTCAGGTTGAACTACAAAATAAAGACTGAGCCTGGGAGAAGTTCTCATCTCCTATAGATCTAACAAACAAATGCCACAAGAAACAGTTCATGTTCCTGGGTTTGCTAGTGCTTGAAACCACATTGCTTGTTACAGTACTGTGTATTTGTGAGCGATCCTCTGCAGCTTGAAGGTATTAAACCCACACTGGTATTACAGACTAAGTAGTAGTGATTGTTTAGGTACAAGAAATTAACCCTCTCAAGGCGCTCAGTCTCACAGGCTTCTTAATATAAGAAGTAAACCTCTAGCTGACAGGATGCAAGGAGCCAGCTTTGCACAGCACAGCCTGTGATGGGTGCAAACAAGTGTTGTGCCTTCACTGGAATGGCTCCGGCTCCAGCATCTGTTTGAGGTGAGCAATGCCACATCCATGGGGGGCTTCAGTGGCCCCTTGAGCCCTGGGGGATGCCAGGCTCTCTGCACTGTGCCAAGGCTGCCTTGCACACCTTGCCAGCATTTGAACATAACTAAATTCTTGGTATCTGGAATTTAGCACCAACACATGGATGTTCAGCACAGCTCCTCTGTTCCCATCAAGGGAAACCTCCTTCTGGACAGAGAGCCAATGTGAGGCTTGTCTGCTATTTTAAATATCAAAAGACCTTAATTAGCACTTTCATACATAATCAGTCAATTAAACCTCTCCTCCATGGCTCTGCTGTGCTGCTTGGGACCAGCATCCATCACACTGTGGGTGGAGTGTTGCAGAACCTGGGTGCTCTTTTCCCCAAAGGAGCCTGGCAGAAGGGGACTTAATGCCACTGGAGTTATGAAGCCCCAGTAGTTATCTACCTACCACTTTAAGAGACAATATAAGGATAATTTAACACTTACAAAAGTCTTTGCTAATATGAGGATGGAGACAATAAGAGCACTTAGAAGATGACAGGAGTCCTGCACTTCTTCAAGGTTCACGTGTAGGGGTGGCAGGGTTGAATGCTCCCTTTTCAACTATGAATACAGATCTGTGTGACGTACAATGATTCTTTGACAGGCTGTAATTGTTTAAAGTTAGCAGCTTTGTTCAAACTAAAACAGCTAAAAACATATCAGGAGAGGAAAGCTCTGAACTTGCACTGATGTAAAATAACAAGACAATTTAATCTTTCTTGATTGCAAATGGTCGGAGCACGTATTGCTCTGGTTCTGCAGGGGGTGACCCCAGGTCAATTTTTTTTAAGGAAAAAATTAAAAAATCAAGGGAACCTACTTATCTGCTAACAGTGCATCAGCTAAAAGCACCTTCCCCTGGACCAAAGATCACCACATAAAATGCTGCACATGCACTTCCATCAGGCTAGCCAGACCACAGATGAACAGACCAGAAAGGAGTGTAATATGCAACTGTATCTACAAAACATAAGTGTAAAACAGTGGGAACTGCAGGAAAGGGCTGGAAGAATGCCTGGAGTTGTTACTTACTTGGGTGATGCAGTAGGTACAGAATTATCTGGTTCCTATTTACACATCTGAAGACATCGAAGGCAATCCGCTAAAATGTGCCAGCTGTTTCAGGAATAGCTAGGCAAATGGTGGGATTCTTTTCCAGTTAAAAAAATGAGTAAGACCGTAGAAGAGGCAGGAAAGATAAAACTAAACTTGCTTGTGAATTAAATAGCTCACCTGGTCTTTTGACTAAGGATTGTTGGGCACAGGGTTAAAATGCAGCTAGCAAAGGGTTTCCCCCATACACCACAGCAGCCGAGGAGCTCAGCCTCCCAATTTTTCCAGATACGACTCTTCACTAGGCATTTCTAACAGTCCAGTCTCTTAGTGTTTGACATGGCACTGCTGACTGCCAGGGAACACCTCTCCTGGGATTGCAGTTGGACCTGGACATAAAACTGTGAGGCATGGCTCACTGCAGGTAGAGCAAAGACCCAAAGACAGCACCCACCATGTGAGGTCCTGAGTCGTGGTGTTTTGCCTAGGGATGCAGAGTGAAATTGCTGATTTGCTGCACAGCGAGATACAAAATAGCTTTGGAAACTGTCTTTCAGAAATGGAAAACAGGGTTGGGCATGCTGAGTTTCCCCTGTGCTTAGGAAGGCACATCCTGCATGGCTGAGCTCAAAGATTGTGGTTGTTCTAATAACAAAGTAGACCACAGCGAAGGCTTTGCTAACTGCTTCCCTTCCCCCTTATATACATCCCACCTATGAAGCGACATGTCAGCTCAGTTTGAGCATGGTATCAGCTCCAGCTTAATGGCCTTTCTCTTAAAAGGGAAGAAAGGGATGGAAAGAAAAGTCTATCTTTGTACTGCAAATTAAATGTATGAATGGAGGACGCAGAGCACAGAGCTTTGTTCGGCCCACGTTGGGTTTCGAGTTTCTGTCCCATTACAGGCAGTGCCTCGCTCTCTTTCAGCTCCAGAGATTATCTAAGGCTTGAGTTTAAACCTTAATCCTCTCCTGGAGAAAGCATGCACACCCAGTCTCAACAAACTGACGTGTTACATGTCTGCAAAGGCCAGCAAACTCTGGTGATTTCAGCACCTCCAGCTCCATTGAGGCTGCCTTTTGCCAAGACCTAGGCAGTGCCATGCACTGCATGTGAGGACTGCTGATTGCTCTAGCTGTGATAGAAACATCTGGGGTTTTTCCCCCCAAAGGGGAGGAAAGACTGAAATGCTGATTCTGATACAAGATTCTTAGTCCATTTCCATTTAAGAAGTGAAACACCTGCAAGTGGTAGGACAGCCCAAGGCAGCACCAAACAGCACTTCCTGACAGCACCAGAGCTGTATGACATGCTCTGACAGCATATGAAAGGGGTAAGTTGGGGGATCCAGCCAGCCAAGGCGCAGATACCCGAAAACCTTAGAAGCACATGCAGCCCACGATTCCTGCACAGCCACAGCACAATCACAGTACGTATGCAACCACACTATACAGCTGGCAGTAGTAACAACAGCAACTGGGATTTGTTTCTTGTCCTAGGAAGTGGCCTGCATCCTTTAGGCACTCAGAACGTGCCATAAGAAGTAACTCCTTCAGAGGTTAAACTTCTCATCTGCCATAATTTCCAAGTCTTTCTGCTCCTCCCCTTTGCTAGTGTTGACTTCCTTTGAGTTCCTCCACCAAAATCCTTCAGAAAGGCACATTAGCTTGGTGGAGATCTGTCACCTCTCTCAGCAATAAAGGGCTTTCCAAAATCCTGTATTGTTCAACAACTTGTCTCTAGAGAACCAGAGTTTAAAACACAAAGCAGTCTTCTTAAGTCCAAACCTCCATGGGTACCATGGACTCCTTTGTTCCAACGGAGGGAAGCAAGTACTCCTCCTCCAGAAAACGAAAGGGGAATTGTACTAAAAACCCACGAATCTTTTTCAATTCTTCTGCTGCTTTCACAGGATCATCGTTCGCTAATTTGGGCTTGTTGATGAAATCACGCAGTTGGGTTAAATTATTCACCTGGTCACTGGGAAGGCATCGAAAAACCTGATCAAAACAGAAAGAGAAAGTGGTATGTCAGGGCAGGGGAAATACTGCAATGCAGAGCTCCTGAGCAGGACCAAAACATCTAATACAAATTCCCCGGGATGGTAGTGACTTAATTAAGAGCCTGGAGAACATGGAGGGAAGACGCATGTGCCTATCTGTGATATGGCTGGAGCAGGCAGAGGGGAAGCTCCAGGGCTTTTTCTTATCACTGCAAAAGCTCATTAAGAAACAGAAGTAAAATTTGCTTCTACTCCAGTTATGCCAAGTAGAAGCAGGAAGTACACCAGAGCCACTCACTGGAGCTACAGCTGATATAAATAAAAGGAGAAATCAGAACTGCTGCCTTCTTGGCCACTGATACATTTTGAGGATGAACAAATTCCAGTGCCTTGTTCACTGTATGGGAAGGAGAGAAGGGAAAGGCATCATGTTCTGTTCCTCACCTTATCAAAGATGGTGGCATTGCGAGCTGCTGTAGAAATCCACACCTCCTTGAAAAACCTGTCACAAACAGGATCCTGGTGTTCTGGACTGAGATCAGAGCCACCAAGGACAACCCTGAGAAGACAAAGCGATTGATGCTCATGGAAGCTCAAGCACTGGCTATTCCCCCTCTTGAGAAATGCTAGGAGACGAAAAACTTCCTTGGGACTTGCCAAACCCTGTGTGCTCCCAGCACCCTCCTGCTCCTGTCCCCAGCAATAGCCTGTCAGCTGTAATGCTGCTCAATTTTCTACTTCTTTTCATGTGCGATAATTGTCCAGATGGAAAATGGAGAGGGAGAAGGAAAAAAAGAAACGCCAATGAAACAGCAGCAGAAGATCGGGCTAAATCCAGGGCAGGCAATGCTAAACCTGAGCAGGCAGCAACTTTTTGTCTGAAAGGCTGCTGGCAGGCGAAAGCCTGAGCAAGCTTTGCCTGCATCCTGCTCACTGCCAGCCCTGTGCATCCCACCTGAAGCACCGCAGCCGGAGGGACTGGGCAAACTTCCCAGCGCTGTAGTCTTCCCCATCCATCACAGAGGGGACTGTCTCAGTGTCCTGCACGATGATGGCCATCTCGCTGTCCCTCTTTCCCAGCATGCTGCGGTCATTGATGTTGGCAGAGCCTGGCAAGGGGGAGAACAGAGCAGCGGTAAGGTACCACGGCTGCATGGGATGCTCCTGCACACCCTCCATCACCACCCTTTGCATCTCTCATCTCCATGGTGGACCTTCTATGGCTTCACTAGGTAAAACCCTCACCAGACATCTTCCTTGTGGAAACACAGAACCTGAGAGCCAGGATCTGGGGAAGGGAAAAAACCTCCAACTGATTTTTGCAGGCTTCAAATGCTCCAGGTTTGAAAGAAGGTTAAACCATAGTCAAGCTCGGGCCATCGGTTTTAAAAGTTTACTCTCTCTGAAACTTCCCAGATACTTTTGCTGAAGGATGCCACAGCTTTCAAAGGGCTTAACTGCATTTGGTTTGGATACCAGGTTACCTGACACAGGATGGGCTTCATGGGTGAATCTGCTCTCATCCTTAGTAATGTAAAGAAAGGAAGCTTTTCATTTGCGTTTGTGAAGGTTGTCTCCTTGCTGTGGGCTGCACATCTGCAAAGGCAGCCTCCTGTCCTGCCAGGACCACAGTTTGTGTCTGCAGACACAAGAGCTCAGGCACCATCCCTGCTGATGCAGCAAGGCAGCAGCACACCCCAGGACTCTGCACGACCTTCACACTACAAGAGATATTTCTTCTCTGCTCCTTGCCCTGTGCTTGCTACTGCATGCCGTGCAAGACCCAAATGCCAGGAAGTGGAGGTGTGCTTTCCAGAGGGTTGCAAAGGGGTCCCCTTCCCCAGTGGTGGGACCCATGGGTGTCCTGTGCACAGTTCCTGGCTCACACCTTGAGAAACAGCCACTTCTGTCCCCAGTGCTGCTGGAGAGCAGCAGACATCTGTTCTGTTGCATTTCTACTGCATGGCTCTGGCCATGCCTTTTGGAGGGGGGGTGTCCCTCTCCAAAATGCATCACCGTGCTCATGTAAAGGTTTGTATGCACTTGGTCCCGCATGGTGGCTCTAGCCCTGACTCTGCACAGTGCTGAGAGCTCCCCTTGCAGGACCTGACACCTGCAGCATTGCTCAAGAACAGGTGAGGCTTTATACCCAATCTAGTTTCTCTGTCTCATACAGCCATCAGAAAGAAAGGGCTGGGGACACCACAGCACTTGCTAGCTCCAAAGGAACCACAAGATGCAGCCAGGAATAGGAGTCATCAGGTCATTAACCCACAGAAATGACCAAACAGCCCCCAGCTCTAGAAGAGACCCTCAGAGTAGCCATTTAGCCTTCCCAGTGACTGTACCTACTAAAGGGGACCTAACCCCTCCCAGAGGAAAAATGAGCTGAGCCTCTCTCCTGCACAATGGTCCCATTAGCATTGTATTTCCATGCACAGTCTTTCATGAGTGTTAAAGGGATGACACTGCCTCCCCGTCTTCTCATCAGCTGGCACAGATGCAAATGCTGCATAAAAATCCATCCTCAGGCTTATAGGTACAGAAAGCAGAAATAAAGACCTGTCTCAGCCAACCCCCCCAGATCACAGTTGCAAAGTCACTGCTCCTGCTGCAACACTGAAACCACTTCTGAGCTGCTCTGGGTACTGGAGATGAGATCTCACCCCACAGAGGGTACCAAGAGAGGAGCAAACCTAATCACAGGTCATCCGAGACTACAGCTGAACTGCTGCATTGAAAGAAGGAAGGAAGTATTCCGAGTCCTACAAAATCCGATATTAACTTATTCTTTGGCAAAGTTTCTGTTGCTGACACAGCAGATAAAAAAAGGTTTCTTCAAAGGAGCAGGCCAAAAAACTGCTTTTCTGCTGTGATACAGAGCTCTGAGCCTGAAGTCTCTTGTCTTTGCTGCATAATCTCATAATAAATATGGTAAAAAAAGAGAAAATGGATGAAATGTTATCTATTACTTGTTATAACATACTTCACCATGCTTAGGAAATGGAGCTGATAAATGACACATGTTGTCCAAAGCTTCCAAGTTTTACGGCACATTCTGTTCTTTAAGGAACAGATGACAAGTCTCACAAGTCTTCCTGTTAGAGCAGTTTGATACAAGACAGATGGACAATATTCCCTGCACTGGGATTCTCTTCACTGTTACACTGAGATTCAAAACCATTTTACAAAAACAAATTAAATGACAGTCCCCCAGATCCTTTCCTCCCTCCTACCTACCTTCCTGATGAACTTATGCATCTGGGTTTTGGGTGGTTTTTTTAAACAACAAAACATTTCACAAGGAAGAAATCACAGCATAGAAAAGCACAGAGCACAGCCTGAACTGATTACAGAGCAGAGAAACAAAGGGTCTAATGCAGATATAATCGAGTGGTCCAAACCCCTCCCACAGGCCCCCTGCTCACCGATTATAACTGTGTTGTCATCAGCAATAAGCAGCTTGCTGTGAACATAGATGAGCTCTGTGACTAGTTTTCCTTCCAACTCAGCATATGTTCGAAGTCCACAGAATGATATGTAGTTTATCCACTTATCTCCAACTGAAAATTAAACAAGATGAGGGATAAGGAAGGTGGAAAAGAGAAGAAAGACAAAAGATCCATTGTATAAAGACCCATATAAATAACAATTCACTTTTGACTTAAATAAGAAACAGATAATGGAAATTAGTTCATAAATAGACTTTACAATCTGCCTGTGGGCTTCCTGCGCTGCTCTGATCCACTGCCTGCTTGAATACTTCCACTATGGCAAGAAATGACCCCAATCTCCCTTGTGCAGCATGCCAAGTCCTCACAATTGATCCAAATGTCTTAAAATAACTGGACCATGCAACTTCTCTTCTGCAAATGCTGCAGAAAGGAAGCTGGAAGCAGGTGTTTTGTCCATGCACAGTATGTAAATATGTCTTAATGTACTTGTCTGCAGTTCAGATTTATGCAAAGACCTAGAAGGAATGAGGCATTATGTACGCGCCTGGTATTTGTGACATGTAGGTTTTCATGGTGCTCTGATTTCAAGCTGGCACCCTCATGGCAAGGAAGCAGCTCGGAAACAGCATCCTACTTAGGCAGGTTTTCCCTCTTTGTGTTTGACAACTGCCAGAAACAAACGCAGGGTGGAATTCACAGGGGAGGCTGAAGGCTTGTCACTCCCAAAAGTGGGCCCCCAGGACATTTTTCAAACAACATGATCCTGAGCAGCTGCAACCTCTGCTGTCTTCTCCCTGGGGTCCTCCCCTCCTCCAGATCAGGGCTGCATCCAAGCATGAAGTCTGACAACTGGCCACAGCTCGCATGTTCTGAAAGACCTTGCCATGGGATAACAGCAGAGGGAGGTCATTCACCAGCTCCATGAGCCCATACCACATGATGCTGTGAGATGCCCTAGTCACAGCAAGCCATGCTAATAAGAACCTAGAGAATCTGATTTATGTGTCAGAGACATAGCCATTGAACAGCAGCATCCCAAGACTAAAAAACATAGAGGATAAAAATAAAGTTCTTACCCTCTGTCTTCAACTGGCCCAGGATGGAGTTTTCTCCTCGGCACATGGTCCTGGAAAGAAGGTAGGCAGCCATCAGCACCACCGTGACTCAAGGCAACAGCATATGCTGAAGCAGAACCAGGCGAGGTAAATCACAAACACAGATGCCTCTTAAATACCCTGTGCAAGCAGAAGAAACACGGTGCTTCTAGAGCACACATTTTCCCTGAATGATTGTTGACATATCTTGGACTGCTCATTTCCTATCAGAGCTCGTACCAATCTGCACAGGAGCTGGGGAGCATTTTTGCTTTCTAGATCACACCTCAGTGGTGATAAATGTCTTACAAAGAGGGCTGCTACTGTCTGTGCCACAGGTCTGGATGTGAAATCGCATTAAGAAAATAACATGTGCAGAACACCAGGTTAGGGAGTTTGTATGAGTACAGCTGGGCTGGAAAAGCCACAGCCTGCATCTCATTCAAAAGAGCCCAACCCATGGGCAGTTTCTCAGGACCTGTGGTTGCCCTTGTAGAAGAAAGCTCAGGCAAAAGGGCCTCATTAGAGAGACATGCTGCTTTCCTTCTGCTTGTGTCTCCTGTCCCACTCATCCTTCTGGATGTGCAGTAGGATCCCTGCAGACCAGCAGACAAGGAAGATTTCTTCTGTCTCCACAGACATACCATAACACAGCAGTTTTCCAGTAAAACCATCTTGCCTTGGACCATTCTGCCTTTTTCTACAGCCCATTTCTAGCACAGGGCTACCTGGCACCACTGTGTCTCATTCCTTCCCATGAGGCTTGCAACTAGGGTTGCACAAATCCCTCAGACACATCCATGCTGGAGCAGGGGAATGACATTGGGGAATATGCTGTTCCTAGCAGAGCCAGGCAAAGTATTGGCCAAAAAGGCAGATTTGGAGACAAAGCCTGGCTAAGGAACCTGCAGAACTGCAAGCTCCATTCTGGCTCTAGTGGTGATGGGGATGCTGCCAGAAAGAACTGTAGCAAGCACCATGGGAAGTGCCTGCAGGAGAGCATAACTGTAAAGTGGGAGGGTAAAGAGCTCGGAGATGAAGAGGTCCTGGTCTGATGAGCTAAAATGAAAATGTTATGCCACACATGGACAGTAACTGAGAGTCAGGAATTGGTGGGTTTGTGTAACGGATTGGGGAACCCATTGTTCCAGGGCAGAGTGGGATTTCCCCAGATCTGTGAGGGTGTTTGCCTGTAGAAAGCACGGGGCTTTATCCATCGCACTTCCCCACTCAGCTAGCATTGCCTCACCTCCTGATGCGAATCCTGAGGCTGGCAAATACATGAGCTATAAGGACTAAGTGAAAGCTACAGTTTCCTCCTTTTCCGAACACTGTGTACATGAGGACAGCATCTAGTGTGATGCCGCGTGGATGGATGGCAGCTGGAGCCTTGGGCACCACCCGCAGCCAGCAGAGGTGACCAGGGAGGTCTCTGACAGCCTGCCTGCAGCAGGGCTGCCTCCAGTACCTGTAGTTGAAGTGCATTATGGCCTGCAGCGCACTCCCCCCACCAGTTGAGATGTCTCCTTCAAACCCAGGCAGCAGCGGGATCACCACGTATACTCGGAAACGTTTGTTTTCCCTGAAAAGAGAGTATGGGGGAATATTAGCCTGCAAATATTACAGCTTCCTGCAAGGTGAAGGCCTCTGTTTTCACTTCCCTTGCACTAACCAACTTGTTTTTTATCCGCAGCTACCACACAAATTTTAATAGAGCAAAAAGTATGAAGTGTATTTCCAGCTACGTATCTTCATCACCTGCCAGCAATACTTCAGTGAGTGTTCAGGCCACCAGGAGGAAAAGCAGATGGCAAAAGAAGTTAAACGAAAAGAAACTCATTTTCACCAAAGTTCAAGGGCATAGTAATTGTTTTACAGATTGTGTCTGTTACTATAAAAGTTCATTTGAGCACCCTGATAGTCCAGTCACACCAATACTGCTTGAGACTGGTGTGTACAACTGCCTAAGATTACAAAGCTATCACAGGCAGAAAACCGAAATCTAACATGATGCTGTCACTTCATCCTGGTTTTTAGAAGCCATAAACTTCAAAAAGGCTGGAAGCTCAGGGCACAAGCAAAACATTTATCACTCAAGGAAGGCAAGTATATCACTGATACATCACAACCCACAAAACTCATTCCCAGATTTCCCCCAGACTAAGCCGTACTCTGTAACCATGATTTGATTCAGAACAAAAGCTGCAATTGTGGCACTGCTTGGGGCTTTTCTTAAAGTCCACCTTTGGGTTTTCTTTGCTGACAAAAACTAGACGCATCTGCTCTGCCAGTGCTTTCCAGGCGCCCTGGGGTACTGGCAATCCCCTGCCCTGTGCATCGGAGGAGGATGCTCTACTGCAGGGTGCTGCCACTAGATGGCAAACACAGTTTAACCAGGACAAAACCATTTCAGCGGCAGACTGAAGATAAGCCAGTTTGCAGCTTTTGTCAAAAGTATAGCTTCGTCGGGCAAGTCGTGCCTGTGAATTTAAGGGCACGGGAATCATGGAGCACTGGGGTCTCATTTGAGCTGGGAGAGAGACAGCGAGGGCTTGTGTTTCTTTTATTTCAACCAACGCTTCCTTATACTGCATGATGCACTATAAACTAGCCTCAATTTGTCAGCTGACCCCAGGAACAGCTAATGAGATCTTAACCGTACACAACGAGAGACTTTGAAATGAAGCCTGTTTGTATCATGAAAAAGATTTACCAACAAAAGCATTCCCCAAAAAGCATCTTGCTTGTCCAAAGCCCAGTGTTTACTGAACTAGCTAGAGCCACCCATGGAAAAAGACCGCCACCACAAAACAAAAAAGAGGAAACCAAGAACAGAATATTACTAGTTACATCAGTTGCAAATATTGGTCTAGAAGACTGAGAAGTATACAAGCTTTACTAAAGACCTTAATTTACAATTAAACATCTGTGTGTCACTTACCCTGTTTTCCCAGAGCAGTTGGAACATGAGCATTTTGATGCAAACCATTTATGCCTGAGTTTACTTTTTATCTTAGGCAATACCAAGCACTCTGGAGCATGCAGAATTTGAATCTTATATTTAGTGAGATTACCAACATTAAGCTGGCACAATATTGGCATAAAATTGAAGTAATACAGATGTGAGCATCACATCTGAAAATGTGTCACTGAAGAATTGGTGTGACTCCCTTTTGTGCAAGCGTTTTTGATATCTGGACAGAAAGACACCCACTACATAAACTTTACGTAACAGGAAAATCTTAACAGGTTACCTGGAGAATTCGCTGCTACCTCAGTAGCATTGTTAGAAGCAGGCAACAGATGCAAAGGGCCCATAGAATGAGCTCCCAAAGGCAGGAAAGGCAGTCAGGAGTGGCTTTCCAGGAGGACACCAACCAGCACAGAGATGCTGTATCTGGCTGCCTGCGAGCCTCCAGGTTGCAATGCAAACATCCACAACACCATTTCCAGCAGCACTGGCACCACTCCTCATCTACTCTGTGTAAGAATATCCACCCCATCTTTTAATCCTTAGCTAATGTCAATTATTTGGGCTATGCACTGCAGCTCAGATTACCAGCAACTCCACCCTGTTACTCTGCCCTGTTGTTAATGGCCTAGCAGATAACAGCCATGCTCTCCCAGTTTGAATAGTGCTCCTCTTTCCACAGTGCCTCTGAACAAAGCCTGGCTCATGGCAGCTCCTATGGCCTTGCAGATTCTGCCTGTTCCCTGGTGACTGCCTGTCTTGGGTTAGCTGCCTCTACCCAAGTGGGAATTTCCAAGCTCAAGTGTCAAAGAGAGAGAAACTTCTGTGACTCTGGAGAGAATACCTCTGGGAAAGCATTCCCTGCATAGCTCTGGACAATTACAATATGGAAAAAAACAATAGCTCCAAGAAATGTCTCCATGCATGGTGAAAAAGCACATGAGAGATGAAAGAAGTTTAGAAAGTTTTCTGTGTACCAGCCCAGCAAGGGGGATAAACCCAGGATACAGGTTTAGACCATGACATCAATGTACCTTAAAAAGCATCCTTACACAAGGCTGTACAGGATAGAAACAAAACCAAGCTTTATTAATATAAATTATTTTTTATATTTTCATTAATTATTAATTAATAATTAACAAGTACCTGCGATAGTAATGTTAACAAGGGGTTAAGTGTGCTGAAGTAAAAGGAGCATCTAGAACGTGGCTGGATCTGATCCATCCAGGAATAAATGATGGCTCCCTTGCAATGGGGGTTGTAAATACCCTCCAGCACGTACCAGAAAAAGTTGTTCAAACAAGAGCTGAGCCCCACAGTCAAATCCTTGAAATGTGTTTGCTTCCTCTATTTGAAGCCAATCCTCTCTACAGATAATTTGAATAAACCACAAATCCTAGTTCAATCTTCTTACCCATTAACTTGCCTTACCACACACACAGAGTTCAAGACTGGTTGGCTATGAAGCAAAGGTGTGTCTGAACCAGAGTATAAAGGACTCACTTTTAAGCACGTTCCATAGTTAAAAATGCACTTGCACCACGGTAAGTCCAGAAAAATCACTTTGTGGATGCAAAGAAACCACAAAAGTCTCACTGCCACAAATGCAAGCAGATGTTGGACCACACTGGTTCTGCTCTGGGAAAGCTATTGTACAGTTACATTCATTAAGATATTATTTTACATCACACCATATAAATGCACCTGGAAGACTCCCATTGCCTTGTTAAGAACAGGTTACCTGTGAGCTTTAAGAATCCTCTGTGCAATCGCATCGCCAATCTTGTTCCAGACAACTTTGTCATCAGCACAGCTAATAAAAAACTGGTTCTGCAGGAAAAGCAAGCAAAGTTACTCTCAGATACTGTCAGTGAGGAAAAAAAGATATTTGCATGCTTTATTTCAGACCAAGAGCCACAAAAGGTAGCTGATTTGTGTGCCATTTCAGTGGATGCTTTTTAAAAATCATCATTAAACGATGTGTACCTGTACTCAGAGAATTAATTAGTCCTTATTAATCACACTCCCTAGAAAACTCATGTAACAAGCAACCAAATAAGAGGCTGGGGGGTGGATGAAAAGACAGAGGAGAATAAGCACCTCCAGCCAGCCAGCTCTGAGAGTCACTCCAACACAGGAGATTCCTTCTGCTCAAGACTGTACATACCCAAGATCAGCTCTGTGAGTGAGATGTTTGGCCTTGAACAGGGGACACTGCAAAGCCATGGAGAGCACAGAAGACTATTGCACAGGCCATGGAAGTTGCTGGCAGTTTCACAAACAGGCTTATAAAACAGATATCTACTTTTTTCCACCTTAAGGTCAGAAGGCTGTCAGGGTACATACCCATCAGCCTGGTTCAAAGACCATTGAAGTTAATAGAAACAGCTCCAAAAATTCAGAGCAGATGCCGTATTAATATCCATGTGCGTCTAAATTCACTAAAAAGTTCAGACCACACCTCAAGAAGTAGCATCACCCTCCTGATGGCTGCAAGCCATACCCAGAGCACCAGGACCCTCCTGCTTTCCCTCACTGCCACTCACTTCTATATATATGTAGTGCTTGCTGTTTTCTATCACACTGATGTAGGCATTGTGGATGGACTCCTCGTGGTATTTAATGCCAGCCGACCAGTCAGCAGCAGAACGGATCACCTGGAAAACAAGAGATGAACACCTTCAGCTCTGTCCCATCCAGGACACCATAGCATTGCAAGCGAACGATGCTCTTCCCTTGTGCCATTTGCCTCTCAGTATTTCACTAGTAAGGTAATATGTACAACAGTTACCATTTATACTACATTTGTAATAAGCAGAAAAGCTGCTTGAAAATAGAATTAATACTTAATAATGTTGTGATTAAAACTTAAGTACTCTGTCCCATTGCTGTGTTACTGCTGTCCCACCTAGGCAGCTCTAGATGAAACAGAAGTAGCACAGAAGTTCTGGTTTTGCTTAAGGTTTTATGACAAACTGCTTTTAAAACAACTACATTTCAAAGCTTTAGGTGTGCACATCCAATCAGTAACCTCCTGTCCAGCATCTTTTAAAGCCACCATCCACTTGGGGCAATGTCTTTTTCCCACAGAAAGGCTACATCATTACACAGTCTGATAAAGCAGGATGTGGCTTTGCCCTGAGCACTAGAGGTCACTCAGTACTTCTGCCAAATTCTTGCATAAACCATCCCATTTGCTATGATACAGCTTTAAAAATTCATGGCAGCTTGGCTGCTCATATTTAACCATTGATTTTCACTGTAAGTCCCCTTTCCAAGTAGATACTGCATGATGCCCAGGGCACATTCTCCTCGCCTCCTGCAGTTCTTGTGCAAGAGAGCCAAACCAATATGAGAAAGAACCTTTGTTCATGCTCTCAGCCAGACTGAGCAAGCCCCACAGCAGACAACTTCCCATCCCCAACAGCCAGAGATGCCACAGCATCTCCCTCTCCGGCGCTTTGAGTCAAGAAGCAACCGCACTATGCCCTGAGTGACATTTTCCTAGATGGAAATGTAGTTCTTAATTAAGCGAGACAGAGCACATGCTCAGGGAAACTTACTCATTATTAGTGTCTGTCTTTAAACATCCTCAAGACCAAAATACTGAAACATTAGCCCTAAAAATAGCTTTCTACAGCCATTATACCAGCACTCAGGGCCAGTCACACACAGGACAAAATCCAAAGCCTGAGAGGGTCTGTGAAACGCATGCGTCAGTGTGTGCAAAATCCCAGTCTCTTTCAGGACTCAACATTTTTCCCTGGATATTCCTCCAATGTATTTCTTTTAATTCTCTGTGTCCAGCTTCTGCTTGGCTCCATGTTATTCTCCCTGTCCCCCTAACACCCTTACCCTGAGCTCTGCTGTCATATTGTCAACACCAGTAGTGTACCAATAGATAAGGATTTGGCACTTTGGTCCAGGTGCTGTATGCCTGAACCCAACCAATCTTCATGTTTCCAGAGCATCTGTGGAGGAGGCACTGGGGGGCATTGCTGTTAAGTACCACACAACTCTTGAGCCAATTCCTTTAACTGGACAGAAGGAGCTTTCTCCCACAGGTCACTGAAAACCAGGTCCTGCAACTCTTGCCATTTAGCTGCTGTCTTGGCCAACAGAAGGGCACACACTGCAGCCTCCCAGATTCAGCATCAGGGTCACGGATGCTCGAGGGAGGGAGCCAGCGTGAACACAAGGGCCTTCACAGCCTCTACTGGTCCCCAACAGCTGCCCTTTGCTTTCATCGACATATATAAGGTGATGCTGCTCGTGCCTGTGTGGTTTTAATCACCTATTTGGTTTGCAAAGCCAAAGCTGCATTTTCCCACACACCTCAGGCTGGGTACTGCTGAAACTGCACCGAACACCATAGCAGACGGAGCTCCTGAACAGAATTCCACTGTGTGCATTAATAAAGACAGATAAACAGCTCTTCTGGATAAAGAGCAGTCTAATTTTTCTATACACACAGCTCAGGGTGCAGCATGGACAGGAGCCTGCAGCCCTTCCACCTTCACCAGCACAGCCGGCAACAAACAGATGCCTCTTCCCTGCCTCTTCTCCTGCTGCAGTGAAAACCAGGGGCCATGAAGCATGTCCCTGTGGACTGAGTACCTCCAACAAATGCAATCTGGAACTGTGCTTCAGAAAGCTTCCTAGCGTACAAAGTACTGACATTTAATCCTTTTTGCTAGTTAACTTTGTTCACGCTCCAAAGAGCTGCTTCTCCTTTTTTGAGATAAGCTGCTGAGCCCTGCGCTGAACAGAGTAACTTCCACACCCTCATTTACTGCAGCAAGAGCTGAAACTGCTGTGGATGAGGAATAAATGTACTTTTCTGAATTGGGACCTTGATAACACCAAAGCCCCTTGCTTTGAAAGACAACTTCACTGTGAGGAGACAAGTTTATTCTAAACCAGGGATGCCACCTGATGCAACAGGACTATCACTCAGGACCATCCCTTTCCAGCACTATGGCTTCCCAGCACATCATCCACCTGCCCTTCCCTGCCTTCCTCTTCATCCCTCCACACATCAGCACCCCATCTGCTCTTCACACCAGGCTGCCCGCTCTTACAGGACCATCACCCCACAACCATGTGCTGCGTCTTGTCCTAAAAAGCTGGCTCAGCATCACCCAAATGTCTTACACCAAGTACAACAGATGGTGTCCCCATGCTACTTCCTCTCCTCTCCCTCAGACCCCTCAGTACCTCCACAGAAGGCTGTGCCAAGCTTGTCATCTCCTTCTCTTACTGATAAAACAGTAACAATTCTGGTGTTTGCTGTGGGCTAGTGCATAACGAGCAGCGCAAGCTCTCATATATGACTTGAAAGAGGTAAGGGCATAGCCACTGCCAGAGCATTAAATTTTCATTGCATTTGCATCTGGAACTGGATATTGCCTCACATCACATCTTTTGCAGTGCTGGCTTTGGCCGATAATTGCAAACCTTGGAATGGAGATAGATGGAAAAACCCTGACACTGCCTTTAGCTATTTGACTCTTGCAAAAAATCAATGCGCAATCACTTTGCTATTGCGAGCAAAGCCCAGAAGTTCAAAGGGAAGAGAGTAAAACACCATGTCTGACTAACTCATGGAGCTGACAGGCTCCCTTCCTTTTTCCCAGCCTGTACCTCCACATTGTTTCCCGTGCACACTGCACTCATCCTCCCTGTCCTTGTAAGGGCCGCTCCTGTGGTCCTCACCCTCCTGAAAACACTTTCCTGCTCCTCTTGTCTGACAAAGGAGAGCAAAACCAGATGGTTCAATGAGGTCAAAATGTGTTGCTGACAAGTCAGTGGCTGGGTCATTGCAGCAATGTTGCAATCTCCACAGATACTTTGTGTTTTCCCTTCCTCTGATCTGCCCACAATTGAAAGACAGATTCCGAACAGGCTCAAAACCAAGAAAAACAGCAGCCAGACTTTCTTCAATCACCCCACAGCCAGGGACAGGCACTAGATGCTGGATATTTCTTCAGGACAGTAAATTCTACCTCCAAAGCCCCTACACCACACCAAAATGGGAATAACATGGGCACAGCTGTCAGCCAGCCAAGGGATTCAGTATCAACAACAATATTGTTCCAGTTTTTCTGGATAAAAGCTTAGTGAAAGGTTTTAGGGTATTTCTGATTTCTGCGTTGGACTGTACCACTGGAAGGAGACATGAGCACGAGCCGCCCTCTGGCCCAAAACTACTATATTGGACAGGCAAGAGGTTGATACTCCTGTGACTGCAGGAAAGGAGAAGATGCACAGGGACACCCGGATGCACACCCCAGGAGCTCCAGAAAGAGGTGAACCAGGAGAAGGGATATGTGTGTGTAGATCCAGTCTTTCCCTCTCACCACCTCCTGTGGCAGCCAAATCTGAAACCTCCATCAGGAAAAGAGCTTGAGCCACTCACTGACCCATAGCAGGGACTGCAGGGATGCTTCAGGGCACTTTCGTCATCTGAGGACCGATGGAAACTAGGCCAGTGTGAACGTTATAGAGAAGACTGCCAACAAAACCATGGCCCAGAGCTTGAGGAGGTCATGCAGAAATCATAAGCAAGCAGCCCAGGGTCAAAGAACCTGTATCCAGTGTCAAGGAAGGGTGTATTTAGGCAGGGTGCCTGAGGAGCCAGCCTCACCACTTCCACCATGCCTGGTGCTGCAAATGCTCTTCCTTATTGTCTTCCCTCATACTGGGAAGGCTGGTACATTGCAGGGCAACATGTTTTCAGACTAATATCATATGGTTTTATTTATCTGCCTCTAAACAGGACTGGGCTACCCTGACAAGTCTCTCAAAGCTGCAATTTGACATAAATTAGAAATGAGCAAGGCAGTTTCAAGTGAATAATCTACAAGACAAAGCTGCTCTCTTTTTGCTGTTTATGGCATCACTGAAACAGCCCTTCATTTCTGGGAACATATCAGTTATTTGCAATGCCCCAGCAACGTTGTGACAAAGCTAGTTTTCAACAGCTCACCCACTACTCAGCACTGGCGTATGAAGCATTTAACAGTCATTGAGTTTCATCCTCCTTTTCCACAGGCTGATGCCCTGAGCCAGCAGCTCTGTGGTATAGACTAAAGGAAAGCTGGACCTAGACAGTGCTCAGTTCTGTTTCTCCTTAGGGAACTGCTTCCAGTTCTTAATCAGTAGATCCTACCTTTTTGCTACAGCAAGCCCCACGATTTAGAAGCTGAGGCTTATGTTGTGGTTAGAGCATGCTCAGGGGACGCAAGCCTCCTCACATTCATGAGAACAAAGTCTCCCAAAAAGTTGGTGTCACAGTCTCGGCTGGGGAGGCATTTACAGCCACAGAGAAGGACGATGATGCCTGAAGTGAGACTATTTTTCAACAAGCTGTTTCAGCAAGGATTGTTTTGGAGGCCGGTGTAACACACCCAAGATCCATGACAAGATCCCTGTGCTGGCCATTCCCCACATTACACAGGTTGGAGCAGACAATACCCTGGCAGCCCACAAACCCAGAAAAATGCATCTTATTACACCAAGCTTCCCCAAGTGTTGCTGATATCTGGGTAGATCACTTTTTACAAAGAGAAAAGGCATGAATCTTGCCTGGCTTTGGTCTAATTGCTCTTATTTTGTACATCTTTCATCCAAAGAGACACACAATTGTTTTGCTGCTTCAGCATAACTCTTTTGACTATATTCTTCAACAAGTCCATGTGTCTGCTGAGTAACGGTAGTATTCAATATACGCACTCAATCTAGTTAGCTGAGTTTTTAGATACAGGTATCTCTGAAACTATGACTGTGAGGATGATTGTCACAAATGAGACTGTGGGCTGAGTGTGCAGAACTGCAGAGCACCCACAGGGCTGAATGGCTGCATGATAAAATGCAGATGAAGTTCAATGCAACATCTCTGAGATTCCTCTTAATGCTGGGCTCTAGATGACCACCAAATGTTCGACTGAGGCACTGGGGGCCTGGTTAGGCTGCTCTAAGATTTGAGATAAATATTCAGTGGGCAACCTCAACCCATCAGGCCTTCCCAAAACATAAAACATAAATGTTAGGCATTAGAAGAGCAGCAGAAGACAAAATAGCAAATTATACAGCCATACAAAGTCATGGTGTTCCCACAGCTTGAGTACTGCTTACAGCTTGGTCCTCTTGCCTCAAAGGTGGAGGTATAAATTAATGCATTTCTACTGAAAGAGTTGCATTCTTTTATTGTAATTTAGGACGTGACCACCTATGCTGTGTAATTTTATGATTTCAAGCTCTGCAGAGGGTCTGTCAGGCATTGACATTTACTGCTGGAAAGATGCAAACCGGGCTGTCTTAGGAGGATGTGAGCAGACCATCAGCACCCACCTGCACTGTGGCATGAACAGCCTCGGGCACCTGATACTTCAACTCATTAGCAGTTTCCTGAGATTTCGGCAGCAGGAATGGGTAGGACAGGGATCGGTATTTGGGCTTCATAATCTGCCCGGGGAAAAAAGAAAACAAAAGCAACTTGATGACACTGCAACACAGCAGGATAACATTAAAAATTAAAATGCATGCCTGTGGAGGGCACGTGGATGAGGCAGGGGCTGTATTTGTTTCTGTGTCCCCAGCAGTGATGCCCACACCCCACCTTGGTGAAGTTCCAGCGCTGGATGAAGTGTCGGGCAACATCGCGTGCTGCTTTGCCGTGTACCACAGAGGAGATGTCATGCCAGGGCATCCTCGGGGTGGTGTATCTGTCAATGAAGTCTACAGGACAGGACAGCATGTTTAGGCCTTCTCAGAAAAAAAAGACACGAATGTGGAAAAGCATGGTATGCTCCCCTCAAACAGAAGCTTCTGGGACACAGCACTGAGGGCTGTGCAGAATACTCATCATGCAATCGCCTGCAGTCCAAGTCCATGGACCGTAACGGCATAATTGGCCCTAGAACCTCTCGAAGACAGTTTTGCTGCTTCCTCCTAGCAGCCAAATCAAAACTGCCTCATTACCTCTGTCTCAGTAAGAGCAAAAAATGTGGTTTGAGGCTGTAAAGATGCAGAAGAGGGTTTGGGAGAATGTAATGATTTCCACGGTGCAAAGGCACTTACCAGCAAAAGGTTTGTCAAGTTGAACCCAGTCTTTAAAGACAAAGTTGCAGTAGTCTTTTCCGTGCCAGAATCTGGTTTCCCCAAGCAGCTCGCCAACACCTGTCTTCAAGCTGCGGATGGATCCTTTATCTGTCACAGGCAAACAAGACAACAAATCCACACACTCCAAAGTTATGTCTGTCCCTCTCACACTGCTGGTGAGAGATTCTCTGACATGGAACAGCACTTGTAGGACCTCCCAGTCCTAGTCAGCTGAAGCTGATTTCTCCCTACTCTTCCTGATGCTTTCAAAAGATATATATTAGTATTTTTTTCTTCCCTATTTTAATATTTGTTATACCATCAGAGCTGGTTATATATAGGAGTCTGTAATGAAAACAACAAGCAGATGCTGAACTCTCCATTACACTACACTGAAAAACTCACCCTATAATCATTTGTTTTTTCCACAGTCCAATGAATGACACTTAAATGTGGCAGCCCAATCCCAGCTGTGACTGACCTCAGTGGATATATGTACAGAAACATCACATAAATTATCCACTTAATGTATCTTACAATAATAATGAAGTAATTCCAACTTCTCTGTGGGAGTATTTATAACTTTGCCTCTGTAGGAGGGTATATCTCATCTGACAGAAGCTAGTCTTTATTAACTAAAATGAGATGATTTAATCATATTCCTTCACTAATGTTTTATTTTGTATTTCCAAATAACAATGTCATCTTTTCATACAATTTTGCATGTTAAACAAATGGATTCTGAATTCCAAATTGGTCGTTAAAAATACTCTAAAATATTCCGTCCTAACAGGATCCCTCTTCTACAGTGCATATTTTGGTGCAGAGTGAGGTTTTTTTTCTCTACTTTTAAGGAAACCAAAAACATTGGCCTAGACCATAAACATTTAACTAGCATTATTTCCTGACCCTGAGAGCAGTCTTCATCTACTGTACCAAATACTACTGAAATAATTACACAGTAACATGCTAGCAGCAGAAGCCTTCTCCTAACTCAACCACATCACCAGGTAACCATGAAAACCCCTTACCACAACCCCCTTCCAACAGTCACCAAAATACACATTGGCATCAGTGTAACAAGACTGGTTCACACAAAGCAAGCCCTGCCAGCACTGCTGTAACCCCACTGAGCTAAGCCAAGCCATGCCAGAAACACCATGCAGCACGTAAGCACCACAGCTGCATTAGGAAGCTTGAGTTTCTAGTGAGAGTCCAGGTGGAGATGGGGAATCACTGACTCAGCATGCTCAAATGGGAATGGGTGGGACATGCTGTGTGGCTAAAACACACTTCACGTACTGAGCTTTGATGCCTGTATGTTGACTCATGAATGAGCATGAGGTGACCACAGGGGAGACCACAATTAATTTCCACGAGACAAATGCTTCTCTTCATTGTTACCTACCACTATTTTGTAACCAGTATTTTACAATCGGTAATTAAGGCCTTAGCAGAAAACGTCAGCAAGAGGAAGATGTCAAGTAACTGCCCCTCACCCTGTATCAGAACTCAGAGGGATCCCTATGAGGTACTGAAACAGGCCCTTTCAACATCAGTCCAGAGATCAGGACAGGACAGCGGTTAAGAGAAAATCCTTTCTCAGTTAAGTATGCTTTTATTGACCTTAATGAGGGACAAAAGGGAGGGCCCAAGTCTTCATCCAAACATAGGTCTGACAGCAGACACTTTGCTGTGTCCTTTCGCTGCATGTCTTCCTGCATTAGGTTTACTTTGAAGTACCCATTGCGGAAGTTCCCAATTCCAGCAACAAGCCCCTTCCTTTGCAGGATGAGAGCTGCTGAAATCATCATATACCAGAATCAGAGCTATTTCCTTAACTGTTCCGTGGTGTTACTGTAAATGTGTTGATTTGTTCGGGGTTTGTTGCTCTTGTGGGCTTTTTTTTTTTGTTTTTTTGTAATTATTATTTATTTATGCTGCAGTTTTTGTAGCTTCTGGAGAAGACTCTGCCAGGATGTCCTCAGAGGGGTGCTAAAGGTGCTGGGAAATCAACAAGCAGCAAAGGCTGATCCTGGCACTCAACCTAACTCTCACCATAGTTACAACATAAGCACATCAGCAGCTAAAGCCTGAAGGCACCTCTGCCTCCCTGCACTTACCCTCCCGAGGCTCTGTGAGCCCCTGTTTGGATTCACTGTGGTGATGGAAGATTTTCAGATGGGGCTTTAAACTCTGGATTATATTTGGCTGACTTCTAGTGGAGTTACAGTAACCTGCAGGAAGTCGAGATGCTCTATTCATGGCAAAAACACATGTCAACCAACTACATTGGTGCCTGATCCTGTCTGAAGACACCTTGCATGTCAGGAGCTCAAACAAGATGTCAGTTTGCTGAAACTACAAGTGACCAATAGGCAAAAGACCAAATTCAAGATCTAGCTGGTTTTAAACCAGATATATTGAAGCAGTGAAGCCATTGCTATGTCCTGAGCCAACTGCAACCAAGGCAAACAGGGCTCCACCAAGGCCTCCTCTGGCCAGAGGCAGGAGGAAGATCTGGAGGGGTTGGTGGAAACTCAGGTAGGTTCCCACCACAACAAATACACAGCTGTAAGAACTGAGGACTTCAGGAACAGATTTCAGGAAGTACTTCATGCTAGAACAAATGTCAAGAATAAAACATAATTTTAGCTCTGAAGTGGTTTTTAATGTGGAGAATTAAAAGCTGCATTCAAATATTCAACTGTTGAACAGTATCTCCTCTCTAGTAAGCAGGTGAAGTGTGAATACTTGCATTTAAGTGAATTGATTTAAACCTAGGCAACACTGGCTTATGAGAGATAATCATATTCAGAAACTGTTTTGCTTGTTATAATAAACCCAAGTTGAAAAATGAAAGAGTTAATTCTCAATTTTCCAACCATATAAACATTAGGTATCATGTACACTACACCATGTCATCTGATGGCTTATGACAATTGCTAATTAATGAAACTCAAATCAAAACTTCCCCTGTATGTTTTGCAGTGACACAAATTTACGTATTGACAACACAGTTATTATTCAGATAGTCAAGAAATTCATCAACTTTCCTTCCTTACAAAAGAACACGTTACCCTAGAAATTATGTGAATCTCCACGCACAGGCACCCACCCACCTCCACTCACACTTTATTTATGTTGTTTAGTTAAAAAACATTACTTACTTGATTCACTGTCGATGCTGCTGACGCTGTCAGCATGGTGCATGCTGTGTTTGTGGAGGTGCTTGTAAATACTGAACCTTGAAAACTTTTTGGGTTTTCCTACTCCTTTCATTTTTGATGTGTCTGGGGCATCATCAATGTTTCTCTGGAACAAGGGGCTTTCAGGGCACAGAGCTTGTGACTGCAGGGGGACATGTTCAGATTCTGCTGCAGACTTAAAAGACACAAAACATTGTTGCAGGTGATGTCTGGACAGGTTATCCTTTAATTACAGATTATCATGTAATATCAATACTCAAACAACCATGAGCCAAATTTTGCCCTGTGACAAGGACATATGTCAGTGAGAACTAGGAATGCTTTTGAGAGAGAGTCTGTACTGAGGAGGCACTCAACAGAACAACCCAGTATTACTAGCAGTATTTGATTCCATAAATTTACTCTAGATTATTACTCCCCCTTAAAATTCCCATAAACCTAAACCCCTCTGAAGTTTTAGAGATATGCTGTTACATACAGACTCAGGTTAGCAGAGAGTTCAGCAAACAAGGCACCTGCCAAGGGCCAAGTATCCAGGAGTTCAGGGCACTCTGCAAATGCTTACCATGCATTTATAGCAGTCTGAGTATGAAAGCAGCCTTCAAACTGTAACTGCTGCTCCAAGCTCCAGAAGCTCAGCTATTTGTTTATGTGCCCTAATAACAGCTGGCCAGCATCGAGCCCTCAGGAGTCATTCAATGCTCAGACACTTCCTTCTTCCCACTACTATGCCTCGTTAAATCTCCTAAACCCAGCCCTATGCTCAGAAGAGGACAAGGCTTGTTTACTCCCACCGCAAACCTGACACACAGATGTTGAGCATGGCCACCAGCTGGAGCAAGCTCACTTACTGTCAGGTTAGTTGCTGACACCGACTTCACTGCCACCATTCGCTTCACGCTGCCCACATCTGTCAGGCGGTGCTCGTCGTCATCCCACCTGCCATATGCCAAGTCAATGCCACCCACAAATGCCACAGACTGGTCAACAATGACAAGCTTCTCGTGGTGGGCCCAGAGGTACACGGAGGAAGACACATGGTCTGGGTGTCTCATCACCTAGTGAGAAAAGTCAGCACTCAATTTGCATCCCTCCAGCCAGAGCTGCCCAGCTTGGTTTTGGCTGCTGGGGTTGATGGGGAGACACTGGAGTTTTTAAAGATGCAACCACACAGACTGCTTAATTACTCAAGATACAGGACTCCCCCATTTCTTGGGCTCAGCCTTACTGGCAGGCAGGTGCTTCCCCATAATGTAAGTATTCCCAAGCAGCAATTGTCACTGATGTTGGGATAGCAATAGTGTTCACAAGAGCACAAGGGTCAAGGGAACTTAACAGCAACAACTAAAATCATGCTTTCAGTAGAGTTGTAATAGCTGAGCTTTCAAACACAAGCCTGCTCCTAAAGGAAACAACATATTGGTGATCTGACTCACTACTTTGGTTGTTGCTGCTACATAAGTAAAATGAGAAGTTGGCTGTTTTTTTCCCCAGCAAGTTGCCTGGCATTTCTTTATGAGGTTCTTTCTGACACATGTTTATGACAAAGTCATTTCTGTACCTAAGCATACAGTATATATATTTTGTTAGAGCCATTAGACCAGCTTCCTGGGAAAAAAAAGGTACAGAGTTTCACCTGGCTGCTCCCAAAACCTGTTACACAGCTAGTATGTATCTTCTAGTTACACCTTCCAGTCTTGCTGAGAAGATGACAGTGAATGGATGCTTCCCTTCACTGTGACAACTGATCAAGTGACAATAAATCTATTATTCTAGCAGTTTGTTAGCCACCCTTATGCATAACATATATCTTATTACTCATTAAAATGTATGTCTCTGATTTCAAGGGACTAGATCTAGCCTTACTTACTGGTTTGTCTGCCAGAACTCATTTTCCCCTTGGTGGCAGCACAGCAGAGTAACAGCACAGGACAGTGCAATGCTGTTCATTTATGATTGTCCACACTGTTGACAGTATACACTCATATCGTGTACTCATCCATTCCCTGACTGGCTGAACAAGTCCTCAGGTCCTCTGAGAAGACCTGATCGTCTTCCTGTACCTGCTCCAGTGTGCATTTATTGTTCATAAGCTCCATCATGCAGCAGGACACAGTGCTGTGGGTGAGAGCTCACCTGGCCTGCTGGCGTGACTCCTTAGCCATCACCTGTGCTGCCATTCTTTGGAGTGCCTTTCTGTTAGTAGCACATGCAGAATGCTGAGCCCCCTTGGCCCCTGCCCAGGTGGACCTGGAGGCTGCTGGTACTGCCAGAGATCTGCTGGTACTGGGTATTTTCCTATGGATGTCCCTGCCCATGGCAGGGGGGTTGGAACTAGATGATCTTAAGGTGCTTTCCGATCCTAACTATTCTACGATTCTATGATGAGAACTTAAACAACCAGCGTTGACTCTTGTCATCCACATTTGAACAGAAATGCTGAAATGAGACATTCTCAAATTGTAACTTTCCATTTGATGTAACCCTATTAGCTTCTCACATGAAATATGTTTCTTGTAAATCAGATGAATAGCTGCTTTGGCAAGTCTAAACTAAGCAATTTTATATTCAGTTATAAACTAAAGAATTGAAGTTGCCAGATGTGCTAATTGCTCTATGTCTTCTCAGACTATTACCACTGTACCAGTTCACACATTTCAGTGTGAGGGTCAGCACTATCAAGAACAAACAAATGCAAATGTCTTTCATACAGCTGCTCAATGCAGAATTACCTTAATGTTTGGATGGAGGCGCATAAGCGTCCGCTTGCTATATTCACTGTTGATACCTAGGGCAAGCTCCACCTCTTTGTACAGCATCACAAAAATCCTCACCCCTTGTTGCTGTCAGAAATGAACAGAAAAACATGCTATGCAGGTATATGAATGAATACAGTTCAATTCCAAAGTGAGGAGAAACCATGGTGACCCCACAGCATGCAAGGACCCATACTTCTCAGGAAAGCCCCCCAGCTCAGTAGCTGGATTCAAGAGCTGAGCTATGCCAAAACCCATCAAGAGGTCACTCTTACAGTATCCCCTTTTAAACTTCCTTTGAGGTAAGATTTTGCAAACATGATTCACTCCACATTTAATCATGTGGCACACATCCACTGAAGCTCAGTTTTCTGCTGCTTCATGTTGCCCTGGGGTTTGCTTGCAGTTAAAATCTTCTGCAGGACAACAATACCAGTGCAGTCATATGGACTCCTCTCTCCTGAAGGGGATGCAACCAGCTCAATGCCAGTAAACAAATTCTTTCTGGTGGCAGAGCTAAACAAGCTGCTGGAGTACAATGAGCAGTGCTACAAGGAAGGTGTTTTAGTGACCCGAATGATAACCACAGTAGGATTTCTAAGGATGCTTGTTAAAGCACTTTTAAAACTTCCTAGTACTTCCCAAACCTCAGCACACCCTGGTCACACACTGGGACACCTTCAGTAGCCATAAATCATTGTGGTTTAAAATCCTGCAGTGGAGTTTGCCAGCTGAAATTTCCCACAACCTTTTAAGTTCCTATTCCCGTAAAGCTGCTTCTGAGAGAGCTTAGGCAGTCTCCAAATTGTGGATGTTATTCTGCTCTCCACTGCACCCAGAGAACTCCAAGGCAGCACCATACATGCATAAAGGACAGCCTTACCACGTACATAGACACCAACTTGCTGACCCTCCTGTCAAGTCAAAGAAATGCCACAAGTGAAAGAGCTGGTAAGTATTTCCAGAAACTAACCTTAGAACACTCCTCTCTCTTACAAGGTATTTATAGGAAAATCATGTCAATATGACAAAGATAAACTCTTCCACCCAGTGGGCATGCCCCGTGGCCATGTTTCATTTGCCAGAAAATGACTACTTCCAAATCAACAACAGACACAAAAAACATTCTATTTTTTAATAGGCATGTGGAGGGGTGAGGACTGCGCTTGTCTGGAAAGGCAGGGTGCCAAGGACTAATTCAGCTTGTCCACCTGGAATCCTGCCCTTCTACCACACCAAGAGTTCAAGAGTCTTCCCATCTGTGCTTTGCTTTCTGACTCACTGCTTACATGGAGCAAACTACCATTCCTAGCACTGGTGTTATCACAGATTGGGTGAACAACTGAAGTAGAGCTCACATTCATAAACACCTCACACTTGGATTCTCTGTCTGCCTCATTTGGCTCTATGAAACATGTTCTCTACAGTCTGGATCCAGATGCGTTACTGGAAAGCAGAGTACAACCAGCAACAAAATGAACTGTTCACTGAGATGAAAAAAGCATGTAACAGCACAAAGCTGACCAAGAGAGCCAGGAAAGGCATCAGGTCAACTGCAGGTCTGAGCGTTTCTCGAGGAACAGGAGAGGAAAAATTAAAACAGATGGAAAAAAGCCTTATCAAGTTTATACAGTAAGCATTTGCTTACTTAACACAAGCATGTATTAACTCAGATACACAGCAATGCAAGTAGAAGTCCTAGTCTCCGAGCCATATTTATCACATTCCTGTAAATAAGCTGACCACCACAGTCCAGCTCTGGGGAACATGATGATGCCTGTATTTGTACACTTTCTTTTCCTCCTGCTTTGCTGAAGCCCTTTCCTCACTTTTCTTCTCCATAGCAATGCACCAGGGCCCTCATAACCAGTTGCCACCTGGGAAGGGACAGGGAGGGAGGACACAGCTGATCTGCCTCACCTTAGTGGCCACAAGAGCCGCGAGAATACAGGAAGGGATGGGTAGGAACAAAGAAAACCAGTAGACATACAAATAGTAAAGAACAACTACCAAAAGAATAAAGCATTTTCTAACCAGAAGTTATCCCTCTAAATAAAAACAACACAAAAACTCTTCAGGCTTTGGCCTTATATGCTGCACTAGCATTTACTATTACTGATGGTAGCAAAGAGCTATAGCATGAAGAGCTTTGGGCAGCACAGCCCAGGCTGGATGAAAGCAAGAGGGACTCCACCAGGGGATAATGGGGCTGGAAAACATCAGGATGAAGTTTAATGTCAACAGGCACTTCTTTACTACAACAAGGAATAATGAGTGAACAGCCAGAACACCAGTTCTTTGGTGTTTAGTTTTAGCAAGGACCTCTGCAATCTGTCAGGTATGGAAAACCCAATGAGGTAGCTATCATGAGATAGCATGAACCTCTGAATGATACCGAGTGACTTTTTGCTAATGACACCCTGATTTTCTTGTTGGACTGACAGCTGCAGCACAGACACACAACACATGGTAACAACAGAAAGGATCTGCACAACACAGCAACGTACAAAACATCTACCAAGAACCACCACAAAGCATTTAGTCTTTCCTGTACCTCTCAATTACATATGCCACGTGGACAGCACCGGACAGCAACAGGAGCTGGGGCAGCCATAATGCAATACTGAAATGACCCAAACCTGAGGACTCAAAGGAGCAATCAGAGATCTACCCTATAGCCTCCAAGCTCTTCCAAACCCAAATGGGGGGAGCAAATCAAAACAGGCCATCTGAAATGAGGCTTGGCCAGCTTTAACTCTCATCTCCACCAAAATAAATGGTGCAAACACTCCAGTCCACTATGATCCTGTAACTGTGTGGGCATATGGGGTTTTCTGCAGGGTAAAGGTTGCAGCTGGAGCTCACTTACTGCTTTCCGCTTGAGGATACAGTCCAGCCGCCAGCGATTTCCTTCCACAACTGGTCGTTTCATGAAGATTTCTGGGCTGAGCCTAATAAAAAAAAAAGGGTGGAAAAAACCACGTCATGTGCAGTCTGCAAACAAAGCACTGGCCTAAATAATCATCTTGGGAAGCACAGAAATCAAAGTTGATATAAAATGGATGCGAACGCTCATGTCCCAGAGTGATAGATTCTCCACACCATGCTCTTTGTATTTTAATAACAGAGCATTACAGAGGGCAGGGGGTGTGTCCAGCACATTCACCTTAGTATCCAACAACCCCTGAGACCAGTCTTAACAGTGATGTAAAAGTCAGGAAACTTGGACTCTATAAAAGAAAGATGCAATGAAAGAAAAGCCCAAGATAGATTTGAAAGAAACATATAGGCATAAAAATAAGGTAGAATTTCACTACTCCTGGCACTTAGGCTATCTGAAGTAGCATAGATTTGTGCTGGATTTTCCCTGCTGCCTAAAGACAAAGCAATATGATCTCTCAAAAGGACAATTTACTGATTCATAGCTTTAAGGAATACAGGGAATAATTGAGCAGTCTCCTCTAACTCCTGCAAAGCAAGGTGACAGAACTTCATTCTTTTACTTTTGTATTGAGCATGAGAACTTGTGCTTGGATAGAGCATGTAGCTACACCCTAAAAACATGCTTCTGACAACAGGATTTTGTATCTTAAAATCCAAGTTTCAAATAAGTTTTGGAATTCTAAAATACATTAACAATTGTCTGAACAAAACATTAAGCAAACGTGCTGGGTCTGAAATGCTGTGCTCTTGCATTGTGACCTGACGCTGCACATGGGGATGCAGTAGCATTGGGTTTATATGTGGTCATGTTAGGAAACGGGTTTACCCATGTAAATGCTGACCTTGTATTTAATTTTCACATAGTAATTGCCACCTAAGAACAAATCCTCCCAGTTCCAATTGTCAGTGGCTTAGTAGCAAGAAGTTCATTTTACAGGTGGACAAAGATGAGCACAGAAATGTGACCAAAGTTAGAGGATGTCTGAGCCATATCCTGGCAGCCTGCCCTACCATCCCATCCACAAGATCCAGCCTGGCTCAGCCAGATTAACTTCCCCAAAGGCAAGACACAGCCAGCATCCAGCCAAGAAACTCTGCCCCAAGCCTGTGAGTTCCTGCCTCAGACAGGAACCAGAGCATTACATAAACATACTGAATTGCTAGTTAAGAAGCTGGCAGAGCCATGTTCTTAAGCAGCCACATAGCTCCAAAGGGGTGACAAAACTCCCCCTACATTGCATGGCTCATTTAAGAGCAAAGCAAAATCACACCCCTCCCAAGATGCTGGTATAAGGCTTTCCAAAACAGCAAGGAGGTGCTGAAAGATCCCACGCAGGATCCTATGGGAAGAGCACTATCAGAGGTGTTTGAGCATCTACGGTCTGTTCCCTTAAACACTGAAAAAAAACTGTGCCCCTGGGCTTTGCAGCAATTTACACTCCTGATGAGCACCTCAAGCCATAACATTTGCAGTTCAGGTGGTGCCTTCATGCAGTTTCAGGCCTTTCCCTGGAAGGAGACAACCAAGCTGTTGATTTCAAGCATGCACTTTTGCTGCCAACCTTCCTGAAAAGGCCTTTGAATACAACACAAGGAGATGTTTGGGTGTGCTGCCAAACCATCTGGCTGCACGGCTAGTTGCCATACTGTAGGGCCTCCCAACAGTGCCGCATTGTTGGGAACATCCCAAGAGAGGCAGCTGGTCAACATCCAAATTACGTAAGTACAAACCACCAATCTGTGATGAAAATTTCTTCCTTAGCAGCTTCCATGGCATTTGCGACATCTTCAAAGTACCACTTGGCGTTTACATACCTGTAAAAGCAAACAGCACATAGATTTGTTTCCTCCCACTCCATTAAACAAAGTCCACAGCTGAAGACTGATGGGCTTCTGTGTAATGCCATTTATATTCTCTTCTCAGAAGAAAACACAAATTTAATTTAAAAAATCAGGGCAGCATGCAGGGAGAGCTTCATGCTGCCATTAGTGGCTTAATGAAACAGCATAATAAGAGATTATTAAGTGCCAGTTGGTACTTCTGCGAACCGCAGACAATATTCTTGGGGTTTGCTTGATGTGTGAGCTAGGTAGGGCTCTCAGGAGAGGATGGTGGAGTGGTGTGCGTTTAGGTTTACAGGAACAACTTGTGCAGTAGTTGCTGCAAGGCAGAAGCTGCAATGAGACCACCACAAGGATTTGCTTTTAACTAGAACCCAGTTTTTGAGGTTATTCTGGGAATGGCTTAGTGCAAGCAGGTTACACTGTGGATGGATGCATTTCTTGTGTGATTGTTTTGGCATGAAGCCCAGTCACCCTTAGACTATACCCAAATTTGCTTTTGCCGATTTTCTTTCATTGCAAAGCCAGTCTGCAAGACCAGACTCTGATTATGCTCTTCACCCAATGAGTGATGTTTGCACTAGAACACTTTTGTGGTGCCTGGAAAGGCAATGTTGTGCTACAGAATGAGAATCAGCCTCGCCAATGTAGCAAGAAGGACAAATCTTGCAATTCAGAGCATGAAGGACATGAAGAGATGATTGGTTACAGAGGAGCACAGGCAAGACAGGCTGCAGCACAGCAGCTTTGGGAGGGAGCTATGGAGAAGGGAGTGGCCAAAGAGGCAGAGGTTTTCAACAGCACCTATGTTACTATGAGTTTATAACCCAGAGAACAAAAACCTAACCCCTTAGAAAGTAGGATTTCTAGAATTAGAAACTGCGATAAAATTGAAGCCAGGAATATCTTCTGATGAAGTATCAATTGTGGTTTTAACTCATAAGCATTCTGCCAATTATATGTGCATCAAGATACCATTTTTATCCTTACAATAACAAATGTTCATATTCAAATGCAACCTGATGTTAAAAAATGCATTTAGCTGCAATGCAAAGTTGTAACAGGACCGAAGCACTCCTGTCACCAGTACTGCTGTTCCATTCCTGGGGGAAGAAACCTCATTTATTTTGCCACTTGTCTAATTATCATCAGTCTGTACAGCTACTGAGCACTAACAGCTCTACCCATCAGGCAGATGGTACCGCAGGCAGGTGCGTGCTGTTCCTGCTGCAGGTAACAGTACCCAGGGCACTGAGCTGGTCACAGCCTCGCCGCAGTCCTCACCACTTGGCCAGTGTGTTCTCCCGCACAGCTGCATAAGACCCGAAGCGGTGCTCTGTGAGGAAGTCCTTGCCGTGCTTCCGAATAAACTCGTCAATGCCCTGCCTCCACCACTGGGCGTGTCTGTAGCTGTTACACTTCAAAATCAATGACCTGTAAAACAGACGACGGATAAGGCAGGATGCTGAAGCCATGTATATTTAATTGGGCTGCTCCTCACTGCCTATGCACATTGATAAACACACATGTATTTGTCATATTTTATTTAAGCAAAAAGGATTTTGATTTGTTGTTCTGTTTGTTGAAGAATACATCAGCACTGAGCTGCCCTGAGTGACTACCACAGGATTGCACTGCCAAGCATAAAATAAATACAATTAACAGCATCATCTTAGCTCAGAGGATCTAGCTAATGCCATATTTTTGAAAAGATGAATTTAGACTGTACGCTACCATCAAAATATTAAATATCACTTTATCCCAACTAGCATGTCTTTTGGGTAATACCCCAGCTGGGTTGTAGAACACATCCCTGCTTGAAGCATAAAAGGAACAGAGCACCTTGAAAATTATTGTACGCAATTGCTGCAAAACAAGACTGTGCAACTCAACAGGCACCGCACCCCCAGGCCTGAGAAATAACCGTAAGGATGGACAAACAGCAGCTGAGGCTCCAAATGACTCATTAAGACATTGGAAATGATCTGCATGACAGGCTAAATCCCCAGCAGGTGTAAACACACCAGCAGTGGCCCAGGCTCTGAGCCCTGCAGGAAGCTGCGCTGCACCATGTCAACCCAGCACACCTTGTTAGCCCCTCTTGGAGAGCAGCATTGATTCCTATTTAACAAAAGCCAAAGCAAACTGAAAAGGGCCTAAATAAAGTCTGTGTTTCTTACCTAGAGAGATTGTCGATCTGCAACCCGTATTTCGTTTCTGTTTCTTTCTGGCCTATCTTAATGTTGAACTCCTTATCCACCAGCAGGACAAATGAAATAGCCCCCGAGTCTGGCTTCATGTACAGCAGGAAAGAGTCCTTCACCACCAGCCACCTGTATGGGCAGAGCAACCAGGTAACTTGCATTCAGTGTGATTCTTCAAAACATGAGCCATAAAAAAAGGCCAAGTGCAAATAATTTATCAGGGGAAGGATAGCATTCAACTAAATGGTAAAATTCTCTTTCCAGGGGCTCCCTCAGTTTTCTAGAGCAGAAAAGTGCCTATTTTATGAACTTGGGTAATGAGTTTCAATTCAATAGAAGACTTTTAGAGTTATTTACATGATTCCTTTTTTACAGAGGTCTTTGAAAATATACATTTCCTTGTCTAACAAGAGCAGTGAGAACCTGCCTGCCCACAAACCTCCCAGTCAGGTACCCAGCACAGAGCAAGGTGCAACAGGTTTCCTCCACCCCAGATCTTTATTCAGCTTGTAAGCTATACAGAAGTTGACATTTCTAACATTAAGTATGATGTCAGGATCATTTTCACGGCTATCAAAAGATACAGAAAAAGGCATTTTGGAAAGCTTTTATTGCCAAGCAACAGGCATCCTGTTAGAAACACATGATGAGAGATGACCGGCAGGTTTTACTTAAATACTGTAGCCTGAAGGCAACTCTGCAAAAAACCCACGATTTTTTTTACTGTGAATGGCATTTCTAATTTTTAATCCCCCTCAGCATCACTGGGATAACTGGCCCCCTCTGTCCCACACAGGTTTCCACCACCAGAGCTTTCACCTCATTCTTCTGCACACTCAGAAACACACAAAGCAACAGAAACCACCACAAAAACCTGTTCATTCTTGTACCTTTAACAGCCTCAGCTCCTCATCTGCCTCCAGAACCCATAGTTTTTATTTTTTTCAGGGCCCTGAAAGAATTATCCCAGCGTTGCCTCTCATTTGGTGCCAAAATACCTCCCCTCTCCCTAATTTGGCCCATACAGTACCACCATGGGGTACATTTCCCCTTTCTGTTTCTCCCAGGCAGCTCTGCATGCAGAGAAGCCCCTACCATGCCTGTTCACAGCATCACCCCACTGTCCTCCTCCATATCTCTTTCCACAGCCCCCATAGCCATAAACCACCCAACCTACTATAATAAGTGAAATGAATTTGGAGTATATAAAACCCAACGCCTGCAGCAAAGCTGTTGTGGGAAAAGGCTGGCTGCAGTCTGCCTCATGCTGAGGGGGAAGCTCCGCTCCAGCTTGATGTGTCCTAAAACCCTTCACTTAAATAACCCTCTCTGGGAAATATTCCTGTTATTTGCTTGCTTATCGGTGCATACACTGTCAGGCCCGGCAGGCATTTGTTGCCCCTCTTGTGTTACTCTACACACAATTCCACTCAAATGCTTCTCCCATCCAATTTTTAGGCACTAAAGACAAATCAAGATCCATCCAAGCTGAATATGCTAGTGCCTCTACTAAAGCTTGAGCTCTGCATAACACAGGGAAGAGTTAACTGAGGGGTATCACAAGGAATAGGCTGCTATTTCCATAAAAGAAAGAGAAAAAAGAATTGTAGACAATTTAGTGATGTGACCTGAAAGGAGGTCACATTTTCATCTCCTTGTGCACTCATTGGAGACATCTTCTGTAAAATGACATTAAGAAATATTGGAAAGACTGTGAAGAAATAGGAACCTTTCTTCACAGGAATGCAAAAATATTTTGTTGGAAAACAGGATTTTTTTAGATAAAATTAACGAGAGCCCATTGACGATGCTAAAATCCAAGGGTGGATAATGCTCAGGGAAGCTCTTACAGACCAAGAAATTGTTGCTGTAGGGCAGGTATGTGCTGTTTGTTTTTTCAAAAGGGAAGATTTGCCCAGGAAGGGCAAGCTCAGGAAGGATCCCTTGTGATTTTTGGATGCTAGCTGGTAACGCACGTACTCCTCCATAGCACACGCCTCTCTGTATTGCAGCCCCTGGGGACACGGAGATCTAACACAAAAGGTAAACAGATGGGGACAGTAAGTTACACCTGTCTGCAGCAGGAAGGGACATAGCAAGAAAACACCTGCATTTAAGAACCTGCAGTAATAAGGAAGAGGTGGCATACTTAATTCCAAGGTTAATTTCACCAGACCGAGCTCCTTGCTGCTACAGGTCACGTGTGGTTTAATCCAGCTACAAAGCAGTCCAAACAGTGTTTGAATTAATTGATTTTTCCTTCTGCAAATTGAGGAAGGGAAGCTCAGAAAACCGGGCTGGAATCTGGACAGGGTGGTGTCACTTCCCCTCCTGAAGGCAGAGCCCCTGGGTGCTCCCACAGCAGGGAAAGCTGGGCACAGCCTGAAGGATTATTGCTATTTCTGGCAGCTCAGGGCTGTAGGGAATTCCAATTTTTCTATATGGCAGTCCCTCCTATGATCTCCAAAGCAGAACAGAAAACCTCACTAACCTCCACACAGGAGGGTGTGGGGGGGGGGAGCCTTTCACCTGAAAAATCTGTGGCGTTTGTAAACAAGCAAAGGTCTCCCTCACAGACTTTCCGGGAGGAAAAGGCAAATGAGCATTTTCGTATGTCCGAGGATGACACAGCATTGCCATCTTTTCCCATTCCAGCAGTACCTTTTGGACCATCGGTAACACATCCTCCCTTGGCCACAGCAGTTCAAGCCAGGTATGCGATGGCCCCCAGAGCGCTTCATGATGAACCCTTCTCTGCAAGGACAGAAACATAGTCAGAATGGGCAGCATGGCTCACCTGGAAATGCAGGGGTCTCTCAGATGCTTGCTGAAGCCCCCCAGCCTCCAAGCACAGGGATGGCTTCTGCTGCCTCTCTGCCATGCCCTGAAAGCTGGTAGAAGGGCAAAAATACCTCCCCCCCCCAAAGGAAATAATGTGGATTTTAGAAATGCAGGGGCCTGTTTTATAGCACAAGCAGAAGAACAAGCAGGCTTACAGGTCACAGGGAAGGAAGGGGAGAAACAAGCTGCAGCCCACGCCTCTCAGAGCAGCCTGCTCCCAAAGCCCATTCTCAAAGTTGTAGCATTTTCTGTGTGAACATCAATAATTTTTTTTCTATCCAGATGGCAAAACATTCCCCAGTCAGCTTTCAGAAAGCTATTAATTTTAACAATATTTACTTATAAAGCCCTGTTCTTGGTGAATCGTAACCCAAAGACAGAGCTCAACTCACATGCCCTTTGGTCCCAGGTCATGGATGAACGACAACTGGCTTACTCCAACAAACTCCATCTGGGGAAAGAGAAAGAGATTACCCCATCTTTCATACTCTGAAATCCACAAAAACCTTTGTTTCATCAAAGTGACTAGTCATAAACACAGAACCTACAGAAGATCCTGAGCAGAAGTAACTTAAGCATCTTTAAGATGACCACGTAGCTTGGCTGGGCTGGTTTGTTTGCTAATTTTAAACATGGTTTGGAGAACATGTTTCAGACAACCAGGACAATCAAGGCAAGTTTATCACAGGGACCCACCAGTATCCTCCATCCTGGATCACTGGCTGAAACGAGGACTCAAGTTTGACGCTGTTTAGGGGTGTTCTGTGAACTTGGCTGGCTGCCTGAATCCTCCCTTCAGTAACCCTCACAGGAAGGCTGGAAAGCGAATGAGCACATGTCCCCAGGGCTGGGAGCATCCTGTTCCCTTCGAATCTCCTACCCCATGGACACACACCACATGGGGGTTCAGCCCCTCAACCCACAAATGTCCTCCAAGATGCAGCAGGTCATTCCCACTCAGTGCTGTACAAACGCCACTGCCCCATCTTGTCCCAAAAGCCAAAAACCCACAGGAAAGACACAGTGGGTTAGGAGAACACGTTCAAGTGCACTCTCCATGACTTCTACTGGTCTGCACAGATCTCCACAGTGGGCACAGCCTGGGGAGCCTATGTGCCACACTGTCAGCTTTGCCAGCATATTCCATCAACCTGCCTCCTTGAGGCTCCTCCTGCTTCAGCAGAGATTGCAGAGGAATGTAACAACAAGCAAAGCCCGTGAGAAAACACAGCACCATTACATTCACCTCTAAAAATAGGACACTAAGAGATTTTGACCAAAGAGGCTTTTCTTGGCACAGCAGGGCACTCCTGACAGTCTGCTGGTTGCTAGCCCTGGGCTCCATTAGCAGGAAGAAATGCTTGCCTCAGGCATCCTGTGCAGGACTGGGGGGGAACAGCCTTGAGGAGCTGCCTTGCATGGCAGAGGCTTGTCTGCACTCAGACACTTGTAATTTATTACTCATAAAATTGTCCAAGTGCAGAAAGGTGCTCAGGGCAGGGTGAGGGTAGGAGATGCTCTCCCCTTTGGTCAGGCAGCAAGCCAGAGAGAACCCTCAAAACACATGTTTTGACAACGAAGCCTGTGGGGATCAAACTTCAGGATCCAACCCACACTCCTAACCACAGCTGGGACATGAGACAGCCTTGGGGCCAGCCCCACAACAGCTCAGGTGCCAGAGAAGGGGTGGCCAAGGTGGCCACTGTCGCTTGCCCTTTGGCAAACCCACCTCGGGGACCCCAATGGAAAAATACGACTTTGTACAGGAATTGCATGGGTGGACCCATAAGTCTCAGGTATTTTCAAACACTAGGTTTAACAAGGAGTACCAGCAAACTTGGGGTAAGTCTATCTTGCAGTTATGGTGAGGCTGGCTCAGGCTCTCTTCCCAACACCATTGCTTTTGCCCCCCAGAAGCAGCAGTAGGACAGAAGATCCTTCCTCCTCATGCCTTGCTGCTCCTGGGACCTTCCCAGACTTCTCACATCAATAAAGCTTTGGAGAAGAACAAAAGACCTGCTGCTCTCCTCCAAGTAGCTCAAGGACATAAAATAACCTCTATTCAGAGCAGGCAAATTTAATGCCCTAATTTTTGGGTGTCTGTTTTCCAAAAGTGGCTACAAGAAGTTATTCCATGCTTTTACTAACAATCTTGCTATCACCTCACCTATTACACTCTCTGGAAAAGCACCTGGTGTGACAATAAAAACATTTCAGCTGTTTCTGCAGTGATGCTTGGGGATGGGGAGCACCTGAAAACATAGTGTATCCTACAAGCTCTTATCAGAGGTCCCAAGTAAAGTCTCAGGCCACCTTCATTTCTTCAGAAAATGGCTGGCATTCCCCACCAGACAAATCAGTGAACCAGACATCTCTCTCACAGTGGGCACACAAAAAACACCCGCATGTGACTGTCAAAGCCCTCTGAAAACGTTGGCTGCAGCCAGAAAGCTGGCAGCCGTGTGAGGAGCACTGCACGCAGAGAAGTAATCGTTCTCAAAGAAGCAAAGAGAAAAAACAGGAGAAAAAATTACTCACAGAAACAGAACTACCACTACATTAAAATGAAAAAGACTGTCTGGCAGCGCAGCAACCTGCTCTCCAGCCAAGGAGTCTTTAAAATGGCAAGGATGATGACAGGAGCCCATCCAACATGTTCATCAGGCAGCACCAATTAGAAGCGTTGGTTTGTAAAAGTACAAAACCACCCATAAATAAATTCCGCCAGTTAGAAGGAAGAGTCCTCAGTGCAGTGGAACATATCTGATCAAATGATTTATTATTATTATTATTGCCACATTAGCTATTTTTACTGTCACAGTGCCTTTCATCCGAGGTGCTCATCATTCACAGAACAACCGAGAGGGGAATGCAGAGCGGTGAAGCGCTTTCATCTTCCTCACATCTGAATTCCTGTGCTGCCCAGCTGCCTCCCTGGGGAGCTGGCATCCCACTCTGGTTTCAGAGCAATTGGCAGCAGAATATTTGAAGTATGAGATAAGGCCCAGAGAATGCAGCTTCAATGACATTGTCATAGCAATAAAGAAGATAATAATTATAAAAGAGGCAGGCAGGAGTGATCAGCTGCAGAAAGACAGGCTATGAAAGGTGAAGAACCAGCTGCAAGGTGCACAAGCCACGGTTTTAAACCATCCCTTTCCGCCAGCAATGTTGAGCATGCACGATCTGTGTAAGGAAGAACTGCACAGAGTATCTGTGTTTCAGGAAGAATTCAGCAGCTCTACGTTTTGTTTTCATTTTGACTCTTGTTTTTAAATTATTGGGTCTAAAACCCCACAGAGTTCCTTAGCACCTGTGGCTAGCAATAAAATGGAATTACACCGCTCTTCAGAGCAATGGTGCTCAGCAGAAGATGCCAGCTATTCCATACACTAAAGAATTGGCTTACACTAAAGATAAATGAAGAAAAACAAACATGCTAAAGTTCAAGTGCAATAACTAAAAATACTGAAGGGTTGGGTGGGGACCTTTGCAATGTCTGCAGATCCAAATGCCATATCAGAGGCAAAACAGCAGCCACTCTCACATATCTGCATTGCTCTTACGCTGTGACTGCTTTCACCTAAGATGAGGCTTTTACACTCACTAAAGCTCATGCAAAATGTTACTGACATGCACTCTGGTTTGACTGAATCTCATTTTTTACTCTGCTTAGGCATCTTTCAACTATTGCAGCTCATACTAAAAAATGCTGCTAAATAAATTTTTATATGGAATATGATCAAGCCCACAGGCCCCCTTTTCAAATGTTTTTGGGCTATATTCACACAGTTTCTATTTCCCAGAAAAAAAGCAGAGACAATGAACACACTGAGAATCCCACATCTATTTTAACAGCGGTTGGCTTGAAGCACCTCAGCCCAGAAGTACTGTAAAAAGGTTTTGGAAAGCACTAGAAGACATAAGAATAAATCATTAGTAACATAGACAGAAGGAAAAATAAAGATTACAAAAATTACATTATAAAAGGCCATGAAGTCTGGGGTCTGATCACAAAATATAATGCAACTCCTAACTTATTTGTGAACTCCACACAAAATACTGTTACAACAAATTATGAGAAATAAAGGGAGATGTGAGAAGGCTGTAAATTTTGTCAGGGTCACCCAGTCAAAGCAAGGGGCACTTGGTACATGACTAAACGATGATGCTTAGCTACGTTCTATTTCCACAGCCTGCATGAGGGTCACCTAGAAAGGCTAAAGATGTACAACCTCAACAATTTCATGTGGTCACTGTGGACCTGATCCTGAACCCACCAGGGACTTCAGGTCTGCAGAACTGCTATAAGCTCAACTTGGAGGCTCAACTCTCCCAGTGCATGGCACATCCTTGAGGCAGTGCATAAAGTGGTGATCCTCCCACTGACAAATAATACATTAGCCACAAGTGCAGAATAAAAGAATTTAAGAAGTGAATTAATTAAATGGTGCAGTTCAGGTGTAAAAACAGCTCCAAAGAGATGCGATTGAACCAAGCAGGCTCTTCACAAGGACCAAGAGTTACACACCAGACAGGTCGCAGCTTGCCATTGCAATTCCGTATCTGACTTTACAGAGAATTTAGGATCTTAAAAGAAAAAACACCTTGGTGCACGGATTTGATGACAGGAACATACGGCAATCAAAATGCTCTCCAATATTAGGACAGTCTCAGCATTCGTCAGCATCCAGGCAAAAGACTTCTTAACCACATGAAGAACAAAATGAGGCTTTGCTCTAAGGAGGACAAACATAGTCCCAAAGGAAATCTTCACTTTTGTCCCTAGCCTGAGAATGGTGAGGCTTATTTTGGTGTTTTGTTTTTTCTTTTTTTTAAGAAAATGTTCTTCTCCCTGTGCTTTCTTCCATCATCGCCTGCAGGATCTGCCACACTTAGCAGCGCTGCCACCAGTAACAGCAAAGTCCTCACTGAACACAGCCAAATCCAGTGAAAGCCAACAATAAACTGAGAATGTATGTGCAAAATGGCATCTGTCTCTGGACCAGGAACAGAAGGGCAATTCAGCACAGGAGGGGAGCACGCCACAGCTGCCCGGGCAAAGCAGGACTGCCCACCTCCTTGCCTGGCCCCTGCAGCAGCAGCCTGCCTTTAACAAGAGCCTGGTCAGAGGATCACCCAGGTTCTTACACCGACGAAACATTCAAAGATATTTGAAACAAGGAACACCTGCCTGAGAGCGACAAGATGGATCCACACTACAAAATAACTCTCCCCCTCCTTGCATATGCTACTGATCAAAATTGCCAAGTTATCCCAATCTTGTCTTCAGAACAAAAGATTACTGTTTTCCACATGTAAACTAACACAGCTCGTGCTAATTTACATGGGCTTAAGCTCCACACTGGACTTAAGCTCCACAGCCTGTCCCCAGAGAAGCATTCTGTAAAGGGCACAGTTCCCTCACCCCAAGTATGAAGATCTTTTGCAATCCAAAGCACAACAGCCCACCAACACTGGAGGGACTCTTCACCCCATGTAACAGGCAGTGCTCAACAGACTGCAGTAAAAACCCACACAGCTTTTCAGATACAAGCTGCCCAATATCTCTATACAAGTGAAATCTGCAAAAAAGCAGACCACCCAACCAAACAACAACAGTTAAAGAGAAGAACTGACTGCTACAGAAACCATAAATTCAGTCTGTGTTTCTGGCTTGTTTGAAAACCAAGTGTTCCCAGTTATCACTCCTTGCTCAGAAATGTCACTAAGCTCTGCAGCTACTCAATGCATGCATCAGGTTTTGCTGATAATACAAAAGGCAGAGTAACACATTCATTATACAGCCAAGAAAAGGGGAAGTAAATTACCATCTCAGGGAGATGTTACAGCTGTGGCTGACAGGTGAGAAATACCGAAGAAATATTCAAGGATGGCTTTCAAAGGAAATATTTTTTTCGCTTAAAATAGGCCTGAAGTTAGATTTGACATCTCTCCCTATTTCAAAAAGACTATTGACTTAGGGAAATAAGCCAAATACCATCTCTCCCTTTGGAAGTGACAAACCACCTGCAGAGCTGAATGGGTATCACTCATACACACTCAGCATTGCTGTGGTCCAGTTGTGGGATTCCCACAAGGAAACCAAGGGGGGAAGGGCAGGGAGGAACTTGAAAACTTTTTTTCTTCTGAAATCTCTAAAGTAAATATTCTTTAGGCATTTAAGCAAACTAACCTCTACTTACCGTTCCATGGTAGTTCCTGTACATTGGCATTTTCAGGATCTTTGTCAAGTAGTCTTCCAGCTGTTTCTACAATTAAAACATTGAAACTTTACATAAGGAACAGGAATTTTCAAGAATAAACCCCCCCCCACAATCCAACTGTATAATTAGGAAGCAATCAAGAAATCAGACACACTTTTCAGCTTGAACGTATAAATACATCATTATGTGCTCATGGAAGATTATAGCTGAGCAGCATAAACAGTTCGATAACAGGTTGTTTACTGTTCACAGATCCATGTATGTACCTTCCACCTTGGCACTGTCAGCTTTCTTGACTGAGCCCAAGTTTCAGAACAAGCTTAAATGCAAAATCAGACCCTGCTGTTTCCACCCACACAAATTAGCATTGTGAGTAAACACAGCCTCAGATGCCTGTTTGGTTAAGTAAATTTCGGATAACCAAAACACCAGGTTCAGGGGCGAGGAGCACGGTGACCATGCTGCCCTGTCCCAAAGCCACAGAGAGGGCAGTGGCTGGGCCACAGATCCCTGGAGAGCCTGTCCTCCCCAGCCAGGAGGGGAGAAAAGAAGAAACCATTACAGGAGAGAGAACCTTCAGCCATTCTCACAGTAACTGGACAAAGAAGAGATTAAGCTGTTTACCCATGAGAAACCGAGCAGAGTTCTACAGGATACAAAACAAACCAAAAATAAATGAATGCCATTGAGATCTTCATCCTTTTCAGTGCTAGCATTGCAACACTGAGATATCCAGCTGGTATAAATACTGCAAACACCCTCATGGTACAAGCTGTGGGATTCCCAGAAGGAAACCAACAGGGAGGTAAGGATCTTTAAAATATTTCTTCTTCCGCTTTTAAACTAACATCTCTCTCCTGAAGCTTCCTGCACAGTGGCACAGCCATGCACAGCAGGGAGGGTTATCTGCACTGCACACCCACAAGCCAACCTTTTGGGACTTGAGGCTCCAGTGACAGGAAGGCCCAGAGAGGGAGTGAAGAGCAGAAAGAGGGCGATAAGCACAGGGTGAACAAACAGGGGATTATTGTACAGGCTCTTTCTTTCTTTTTTGTTTTTTTTCTATTTTTTTCTTTTCTCCTCTTCAAACAGCAAAGCTGCATTGAAGAGGTAGGAAGACATCCACCCTCTTCATAGAAGGGCCCATCTGTTAACATCTGATGAAGTTACATAGAACACGTGTGCCTCGGCTAAAATTACCCACTTCAGCATCAAAAGCCTGACTGTCATCTCTTCTTTCAGAGGGGGACAGGACTGAAATCTCTCAAATTTTGATGGCTGAGGGGCTGCTTCCATCACGCAACTTGACTGCCTTTTCTATCTTTAAATCAGAACAGGTGGGAAGAGGGGAACCGCCATTCTCAGCATTGTGTTCTTCCTCAGCTGCAGAGGAAAACTTTGTCCATATGAACCCTGGGAACAGCATCTTCCTCTCTGCATGGAGGAGGATTTGGCATTCTGCACTTATCAAAGCTTAAGTTTGTCAAGCAAAAGACTTGAATGGTAATAAAACAAGGGCTTTGGTAGTGCACAGCTTTACAAGCAACCTGCCTGGCACTTCTGCACCTCAGCAGCTTTCCCAGTGCACTGCTCTGGCCCCTGCACACAGTGCCAGCTGCTTACCCTCCTGCTGGAGAAGTGCTCTTCCCGCACCGTGCTCTCTGCTGTGTGCGGCAGACTTGGCATCTGCCTCGGTTCTCCCCTTTTGATGGATTGTCTTCTCACCGTGTGACTGGAAGGAAAAGAAACCCCGACAAGTCTGAGCGCTGCAAGTGTGTGTGCACCTCAGTATGTAACCATTCCTCGGCAATGCTTTCATTTATCCTACCCAAGCTCTTAAAAACTGAGATGGGAGGGCAGGAAAGCAGAAAAAAAAAAGCAAGAATGGATTCATTTGAGAAGCCAGGGTGCTCCGACAGGCTCACAAACAGAAATGCAACACAAGTAGCAGAGTTTGATTTTTGAGGGTCCTCCTTTAGCCCTTATTAGGAAAGGGAGCCTAAACCCTACTTTTAGAGTACTATGTTCCCCCAGCCTTTAACCCCTCATAATTTCATCTATCTTAATATCATCTCCCCACATTTCACCATGTCAGAAGGCTGTTACTGACCTACACCACTTTCACTTCCCCGTAACACTTACAGCTACCTTGAGCACCAAGATCAGCCTTGGTAGGGCTGACCATCCATACCAGGGACCCCTGTACATCCCACCTCCACCCCATGATGGCAGAAAGCCACAGTACACTAACAATTTTCATTAGCACAACCCTTCTTCAGGTTCAAAGCAAATTCAGCTCTAAAGCTGATGGTCTGGGACCCAGCATGCTTTCTGCAGAAGGAAGAGACACACCTGCACCACTTAGATTATAGCTGCTAAATAGGTAGAAATTAAATGTCTTTATTATGGCTAAGTATTTGTAGAGACTGGATTCTCCTGCCCTGTCCTCCTTATAGCAAAGTAAATGGGATCAGTGAAGCCAAAGCTATAAGCTATTAAAAGAGAAAAGAAGATCCCATCTCCCCAAAGCCAATCACATCCAAAGGGCTCCACACTCACCTCCTGGTCGGGATAGGGATGTGCACGAAGGCTTTGTACCTCAGCAGCTCCCTGTGAAACTCCTGGAAGTGCTTGAACTTCCTTTTCACCTGCCAGGTGAACTCTCCATGGGTCAGCTCGATGGTGTAAACATTGGGGCTTGGTACCTGCCGAGGAGAACCCCACCACAGGAGATGCAGCTTTGAAATAAGTCATTTTCCTGCAGCTGCTCATCTCAAGAGCCCTCATTCATTTCTACTTAAGGATCACTGTCTCACCATTTCTTGTTCTGTTTCATTAGGTTTTATAGACAGATAGGTAACCTTCCCTCTTAAGTGCTTTCTGAGACACAAGCATTCCTGCTTCTTCAGCCCACGAACAAGCACATGCAAAATTAACCCACAAACAGCATTTTAACGCAGTACTGCAGAAATCAAATTGAATTTCTGACCTTCTTTGTGGAAGTAAAGCGTTCAACTTCTGACACACGCACTCGAACAGGACAGCCCGTGAGATACGTCTGTGTGCCCGGCTCTTTGAACCCATGGGTGTGATAGATGGCAGAGAAAGGAATACACACTGGAAGGAACACAAACCCCATCAGTTCAACAGCCTTGTAATGGTCAAGGAGGCCATGAAAGCCAGCAGATAGCTGCAATGTTTTAACAGGGGAGCATTTACACAGCAACATCAATTCCACTAAAGTATACCAGGTTTTATTTAACAGCTTAAAGACAAGCTTTCACAGAAGGGACTTCACTTGAAGAGCTGAAGTGCTAAAAGTAATGCCTCATGGTCCTAGAGCAGGGTCAATGGTTGGTAAAACCACTGAGGTATGCTATCTATTGACAGATATGGTATATCCAGGCAGGATAGGAGGTGAGAACACACAGGCATCAACTCACCGGTGCCTTTTGGGTCATTTAGCACCTCTGATTCAACCTCCTCCCCATCAAAGTGGAGGTCCCTGGTGTCCAGGCTCTCGATGATGTTGCTCATGTCTGCAGCGACTTTCTTCAGCGTCGATGTAGCTGCATGGCTTTCAGCTCTCAGTGACATCTCAGGGACTGGTGCACTGGAGCCACGGGGCACTGGGGAGAAGGAAGAGGCAGGCCTGTCATCACTCCCTCTCCAACACCTTAGCACAGCAGGGCCGAGGGAAAACCCTGGCACTACATGGCCCTCCAGAGCCTTTACCCTCATTCATCCCAATTATCCCCATCCAACACACCAGATACAGAACACCCAGCCCTGCAGCTGCAGGAAACCACTGCCCAGAGCAGTGAAAAAGCACAGGTAGATTCAGGCTACAAGAGAGAATTTCCCCCAGTGCCAGTGACCGCAGGACTCATAGTCCATTGGTATTTTAAAATGCAAAACACGTAATATTTCACTTCCCAGTTACAAAAAAAAAAAAAAAAGCAAGGGCTTGGTTGTGGCTTGGGAATACCTTCACATATTGATTTCAAAGGAAAACCAAGGAAGCTTTTAGAGCAACTTACCTGACCATCTCAGCTAGCTCTGCAATAATGACAATTCACCAGGAAAACAGAACCATAATAATGCCTGGCCAAATCCCAGACTTAATCCACATGACATTGTGTTTGCCAGGTTAAGCTGAGCAGAGGAAAAGCTCACTTAGAAAATCAGTAGGCGTTTTTTTGTGATTGAATTAGTGATACGAATGCCTGGCATTATTGAGATTTCCTTTGTTTCTATGCATCTGACACAATTGCCCATGATATCTGCATGTCTTGTGCTCTCCCACGGCTCCATTCTCTCAGCAGGCTCAAAAGTCACAGCCATGAAGGCTCCTGTGAGAGGAGCAGAGCAGGGTCAGGGGCATCCGGATGCCCACAGAAAGCCTAGGAGCAACACAGGTGGACTCTGCAGCTCATCCTTGTGCTCACGCCTCCAAGAGATCCCCAAGGAGCTCGCACCCTGTACACAGCCCAGATGTCTGCAGGGGACCAGCCTACACCCCTTTCGTGATGGGGACAGTGGGCAGTGTGAAGGCTGTAGCCTGCTCAGGGCAGTCAGGCAGTGACAGCTGGAGGTGTTTGGGCACTGATGACTACAGCACTTCCCACCTTCATCCCCACCCCCCCATGCCAGGAGCCTAACTCAGGACAACAACAGGGAACAAAGAAAAGTTTAAAAAAAAAAAAAAAAACCCTAAGGAAAAAAAACCCTAACACGCTATCAAGACATGAGGCACATCCACAAACACTGGTGCATGTTCCCAGTGCTTGTGGGGATTTCCAAAGCTGCTTCCTCCTCCTCCAGGCTCTGCAAGTTGCCATGTGGCTGCAGACCCAGCTGCTGGTCCTGCACATAGCCAAGCTCCAGCTCCTGGACACCTCAGTGATAAAAAAGTCCCTTCAATCTTTGCTCTGCAATAAACATCACAGCTCGACAGCTACACTGAAAAAATGTGGATGGGACAAACAGGCAACATTTCACAGAAGCCAATATAGGATGCCCAAATATGAGGACGCCCATTTATGCTTGTGGAAGCTCTTATATTGTGTAAAAGAATGACTAAAAAAGAAAAAAGTGCGACATTTCTGATGTTAAATTCTGCAGAGAACACTATGCAATTATTCTTGAGTGAGCTCCATAGAAAGAGCTGGATATGCTGTAATTTGGAAATAACGTAACATTTTAATAATTCATGTGTTTAGCTGCTTTTGAAAGAACATTCTTTATTATTGTTTCCTCTTGAAACAAGTACATAGTTTTATAACTACATAAGGCTGATATCATGTAAGCTCAAAAACATGTTAAAATGAGCTGTCTTCACCAAAAAAAAACCCACAAAAAACATTTGCATATAGACTTGAAACAAGAAAAATTGGGTCAATCTCTCCTTATTATACCAAAGCAAATGCAGAAACACAGCTTCCCCTTGGCAGTGAGGGCTCTGAGGGTGCTGGTGGCTCTGCCACCTTCCACAGATGGCTGGGAATGCCACTGCAGCACAGGTGGCTTCAGGACCAGACTGGGGCTCACTGGGCTGGCATGTCACTTGAAGAGATCTGCCTGAACAACTCATGTGTGTGCTCCCAGGTACCTCATTCCCCTTCTGTCTGGGGAGAACAAAAAGGGAATTTGCGTTCATCTTTGCAAGTGGATTGGTACTGAAGCATGGGACGATGAAGGCACTGATGCCACCCAGCATGCACTGCCTCCCTGCAGCGGGAATTTGTCATTAGCGTTGCCCCACACTGCCCTCACCACAGCTGGATGCAAAGCCAGTTCTCACTGTCAGAAGCTTTACACTTTACCTATTACTAACAACGTACTGCAGGGAACGTTAATTACTCAGAGCACACAAGGCAGATTTTTATTTCCTGTTAGCAGTGAAGTCATTCCACTAGATATAGACTGGCCCTGGGTGTTTGATTTTCTCTCTACAAAGCAGGCACACACACATCATTCCCAGGAGGAAGGCCACGCTATCAGGCCTCCAAGATAACCCCAGGAGTGGCAGGGGGGAGCCCAGAGCTGCCGCATGCCAGGCAGCAGCACTTCCCCACTCTGCACCTATTTTATTTCCCACTCGACACGAAGAATCTTTATGGCCACCTAGCTGGAAATAAAGCAGCACTTTGCTTTGTATTTCACATTTAGAAACAAAACACAGTTTGGTTCTTTTTGGCTGAAGAGATGCTCTTGCTTCATGGAAACTTAATGTGCTTTCCAGAAGAAGAGGTAAAGAGAACACAAACCCAAATACACTTTGTATGGGATGCGCCAGCAATTACACTTAAGAAAACCTGCAGACAAATACCACAGCAACAGGTCTGGAGGAAGAGCATTCACACATGAGCCAACACGGACAGGATGTGCATCCTCCCTCCTCCTCCTCCCCTCCGTGCCAGGTACAGCCAGGCTCCTCTTGTCAGATTAATTGACGCAGTCACTTAATGGATAAACAATTAACCAGTGTATGCAACCATTATTTGCCGAGGACCACAGCAGTGCTGCATAACTGAGGGCTTTTCTAATTATTCTTTTAAAAGCTGTTTTCACAGCTGCCACAGACAAGTCGTGGGATAAAGCAGAGTCCAAACTCAGTTGGAACCAATTCAGACCCAGCAGCGAAATCCCCCCTGCCAAGATTCAAGCCAGATTATGGCCTCAAGAGGGAAAATGTGACTTGCCTCCAGCCCTGCCAAAAGCCCCACAAATCCAGGCAGCAACTGAGCTCCCCCATCACAGCCGGCAACTGCAGAGCCAGAAGGCATGGGGCAAACCCAGCCCTAGGTAGGGAGGGGTCAGCTGGAATGATGGGACATACTATGTCACTCTGAAAGCTTCTGCAAATTGCTTTATACGGCACTGCTCAGTAAGAGCTATTTAACCTCTTGGCCAGAGTTTCCATGAGGACACTGTTCGCATTCCCATAGGCAAGCTGAGGAATGTATCCGGGTTAATGTGCAACAGGCTGGATGCAAACACACACCAAGCACAGTTATCCATGATTCAGCTGCAAAATAGATGTGTCAAGAAGGCCATGTCTTTCCAGTGGCACTCACTGCCTGCACTAATGATGGAGGAGAATGGGCTTATAAAACTTGCTGATATTGTCAGTTTTGGAGGCTGCAATTATGGGAAGGACAGAGCGATCACACATGATACTGGCAAATTGCAGGAGGGTGGAAATAATAGGGTGAAATATATTAGAAATATTTGCTACATTACAGTATTTGGCTGTTGCCATCCAGGAGAGCAAAAAAGCAGCAGACCAAAGCAAAACCTGTGCCAAGATGCACAAACAAGGCCACTGCAAGCCAAAAAGGAAGATAGGGTGCAGAAGACAGGAAGAGTCAGATCTAAAGCACTTGACCATAAGAACATAGCGGCAGGACTGAGAAGGAAGAGACTTGGATAAAATGTGGCAGCAGTCTGCAAGCCCCCTGTGAGCAAGGCAGAGAAGAGATAATTGCCCTGAATTATAGGTTCAAAGCAGACTGGGGACAAAAACCCTGTCTAACAGCAAAGGCACGGGACTGTTCAAGACTGCAGAGTCCCCAGGGCTGGAGGTCTGTAAGGGCAGGCTGCCCCTATTGACCTTCCCAGGGGAGGGGAGGTGGAACATCCAACCCAGTTCCCTCCAGCACTTACATTCCCAAACCTCTGCCTGGGCAGCCAGGAACTGCCTCAGCAACCTGCATATTAACAGAGGGAAGGCGCTGCTCCAGTTTTATCTGGCTCAAACTCTCCCTGGGCAAAAGCAACAAGGAGGAAAAAAACAATGAGGAAAAAGTCATCTGTAAAGAACAGCTTGGGAAAAATGAACAAATGAGGAAAAGGGGAGATGGTAAAAAATGAAAGAGGAAAGAACCGTACTAAAACCCCTGCAAACTCTGCTTGACACCACCTTTGTCCAGCCTGGTTTTCAGATTACTTACTTCCTCTTCCAAGCATAATTTAACCTCTCTGCCTCCCTTCACTGGGCTGTCCCCACAGCACATGGGCCTCAAACCTCTTGAGCTAGCAGAATATATACATTGGGAATAATGACTGCGCCAAGAGTCAATATTTCAATACTTAAGGAAAACAACTACAAAAATCAAAATTAACTATATCAATCCCTTAGCCCCATGAATGTATTGCAAACCCCTAGCTCAATCCTGCAACCCTACAAGCCTGATAGCTATTTTTGTTATTTGGCATTTCGGTTATGCTTTAACCCCCAGTTTTTACTTAGGGGATCATATAACAATCTCAGCCTTCACTAACGGAATAGTGGTTTTACACTTGTTGCACAGGAAAATAAAAGCATAGCTTTAAAGACATGGAAACCGGAAGGCAAAAAGAAAAAAAAGCAAGTTTTAGTAAATATTCATGAACAGTTCTGTGTTTTGAAGACATTCAAGCCCTCATGTGAAAATATATGCAGCTAGTAATAGCACAGACTACCTAAAGTTTGGTCAGCCTAATTCTCTTACATGTATGGTGGCAGATCTGCAACAAACTCAGATAATTGCTGCTCCTTAATGAGGTTAAGATGCTGACGAGCACCATGCAGAGCTATGAAAACTACAAAAGCCTTCATTTGGGAAAGAAGGGAGGAGGGAAAAGA